AACAAATAATTCACTCAGGCATTAAAAAACTGTGGCTAGGAACCAACAAACACATATATAAATATCAATCATACTATAATCAAAACGATAAGCATAAGTATATATAAAAATAGTTACCACAGTGATCCCAGAATTCTGGACACGGTTAAAACTTGCAAGACGAATAAACATATACTGATATAAATTATTCACTACTCCGCGAGAAATCTTGCGCCTGCGTAGTCAGTCTGTAAACAGTTCCTAAAACTAGTTCTTTCACAATACATTCCGTACAGATCTTCAGGGAGAACTCAGAAATACACAGGGGTGACAAGCAGACTTTATACACGCAGCATGGCTCGCGTAACAATCACAAATACAAGGATTTCACAAAAACTACCTTGTTTTGTAAATTGCCGCTGCATGTTTGATTTGTGATTCTCTAAAATAATATAAATTTTTTCTATCTTTATATTATACAAAACTGCAATAGTATCTTCACAATTTAAGGAATTTGTGAAATTTAGAAAAACAAAATACAATTCTCAATTAAAATTCACTTTTTAATAAAAAATGTTAATGTATCATTCATCATGTTGAGAATTTTTTAAAAAAAGGTTCTTGGTGGAAATAAAAGCCAAATATTTTTTTATTGGAGCCAGAATGCGGGCGTGGAGACAGAATGGCGGGAGGCTTGGTGACGTCACGGAGGCTGGGAGACCAGTTTTGCGGGGCCGGGAGGTAATTCTGCAAATCTGGAGGCTCGGAGGTCATTTTTGCGGGGATCATGTCGCTTCTTCACCCCCTCCCTCCTCCAGTGTAAATATATATTATTATATTTGATATAATTTATAATTGCAATATATTTCAATCCCAAGAAAATATAGATAATTTTTTATATAGACTGTAGAAACATTTCCATCTATATTTTTCATCAATTGAAGCTTACACCATGAGTATTTTGAGGGATTGCCTGATTTTCTGCCACCCTCTCCCCTTAAGAAAATTACATAAATAATTTATTATAACGCTTGTAATATGGAAGTGTGTATATGGTAAAATAGTTTACATAGTTTTAAAGGTATCAATATTTTTATCAAAAAAAGGGGTTTTAAAGGGGGGGCACAACATTTTTTTGCACGCTGACAAAAAAAGCTTAACATTTAATCCTTTATTTCTTATAAATAAGACCATATTGACCTCTGTTAATGGCCCTATACGGTGTAAAATATTGTTAAAGCTTTCTTTATTGCACCTCAGTTTCGAAAATAAATCTTCAAGTACGCCACCATGAAGAACCAGAAAAATATTACGAATCTTAGATCCAATTCGCTGATTTAATTAGTGCATTTCATGATTATGGACTCCTCCGAGCAAAACTACTTTTTTAAATGGTATTTTTAGGGCTTTTAAGTGTGATTTTAAAAAATCGAGCCGTGTCACACAAGTCCAATTTTACCTTGCATGTACTGTACTTAATTATCTCTGTTAGTAATAATTATTATTTAAACTAGAAAAAACATTTTTGAAAATGAAAAACTCAACTTAAACTTAAATTCTATGAGATGAAAAAAAGGTCAAAGGTCCAGAAAATAGTTATGTCTTGCAAAAGTTTCTGATTTGAAAAAAAAGTAATCTATATAATAAAGCTCTTCGTTCATTTATATGATTGCTATGGCCATGGCCAAACGGCTGAATCAAATAGGCTAAATTTTACCCTTGTGGATGACTTAAGCTAAATAAATTAAAAGCTTTTTGTTTTAATTCTATTTTTGAAATTCCACGGGCAACGCCTGACACTTCAGCTCGTTTGAAATAAAAATAAAGATTACAAAACGGCGGTGCAATGAAAATTAAGTAAATTAAATTCAAACTAAAAAAATGGTCTTATATACTACCTCCAATCTCAAGCCTTCATTGGCATTTAAAAATAATTGTTTAACCTCGTTATCCCTGATAGCGCCCATCCGATTAGGATGTTAATGTGCATTCTAAACAGATCTTTCATTTGGACTTCTTGGTGGCTCTGGTCCACGTATACAATCTTCTTAATCTTCTAGTGCACTAAATGAACAGCAAACTAATTTTTTTGTTCTTCACTCTTGAGTTATCGATTTGAAAAGTGTGAAAGCTCTGAGTTCTAGGGGAGGAGGCCACTGCCCCCCCCCCTCCTGTTTACGCCTTTGATTCCATACCAAAGTTTTTTTCTGTTAAGAGTAGGATTCAAATTTCCCTCAATATTTTTTCTAGTGTAGTACAGCCCTAGAAAAATGACTTAGTCAATTAAATTCTAATTTGAGACCATTAACTATTTGCTATTTCCAGCAAACTGTTCAGAAGTTTGGCAATTTGAATATCCTGAGCCATTTTGTCCCTAAAAGGATGGAGGAGGGGGGCACGTGGATTTAATGGTCACAATTTCTCTTATTAAACATATTTTTTCAGCCTTCTTTATTAAATACTTTTTTGCCGGCATATACGTTTTGAATAAAAAGTATTAAACAAACAAATCCGTAACTTTAAAGATTGTTAAAATATAAACCAAAACGCGTATGATTTTGAATAGAAGAAACCGAATGCCTCTAACTCTGGTTAGTCAGGGGATTAACTCCGCTTTGAGACTGCTACGTCAAAAATATAATTTGCATAGCCCTAGAAAAGAAATTCGCATATTCACTATTTAGAACTAAATGCTAGCGCAGAGTTTATGGAGCATGGTATTTGAAAAAAGAAAAATTTATCAATTTTCCCTTTTGCACGCTCGTTCTAAATCATTTGATTTAGCGAAATTCTCTTCTATAAACTTGCAAATTATATCATTTCTAGGGCTTTTTTCAAAAAGCATCATAAATGATTTTTGACCAAAAAATTAATGTTTTGCAACCGAGTGAGGAAATGTGTTAAATCCATCCGAAAAAGACAAAGGGGAAAGCAATGCTTCCTAATTCTTAGTTTATTAAGTCATATTTTGACTGGAAAGCTAATATTTTCTCAAAAAAGATTGAGTAAGACATCAAATTTGCTTGTTGCTTTTGATGCTTTCAAATGTGTATTTTGATGCTATCAGATTACACTTTTGATGCTTTACTACAGGGCCAAAGCATCCAGTGTAAAAATTGAAAGGCGAAGCGGTATACTTACTAATTTTAAATCAACCTTTCGGACTATGTTCACATTTATAAAACAATATGTCTTGACAAAATATTGAAACTGAGACAGCTTTTGCAGAAAGTTTAAGCATTAAAATTTTGTGTACATATCTTTAAAGTTGTCATAAAATCTGGAATAGTAAAACGACTTTTAGAATCAAGTTGTAACTTAAAAAATTCCAATAAGCATGAGACATAGCAACTGTGCAGTGTAAACAGACCTATTTCACCAAACTAGTGATTTGACAAGTGTTTACAAATGTATTTGCTTTGTAACATCATCAAATACACTTGAGTAATGATATCATGTCGTCTTCCTATACTACTGTTTTCTATTTATCACTAAGTACAATAAAACAATGTTTAAAAGGCTTAAAAGATTAAACACAGTTTTTTTTCAGAAACAACTTGCACATATTTTTGTATTTTGGGATATCTAAATCTAAAATCACAACTGGCTGCAAGCTTGACTCTACAACAGAAAATCGTAGTTTTCATATAAAAAAAGGGCGCGAAGCGCAACAATTTGATAAACTTGCTGTGATGTTTTTAAACAAAAGTTGATGATTTTTCCAAAAGCTTGACTTAATTTCAAACCGATGATTTTGTCTTGATAATATTATTTTAAGATTTCCAATTTAGCTTGGAAGTTTTTATGTAAAATTTAACTTGCGATGAAATTTCAGATACAGCATAAATTAACATATTTTATACATCATAATAACAACCAACCCCACCACAACAACTTCAACAACCACAACAACAACCCCAGCCACCACCACAAGAACAAGATAAACTAACATTTTTACATATTTATATGAAATCACCAACACAACAACAACAACAAAGATTTCTCTACAATATAGCATTCTCAGTTCAAATATGTTCCATAGCCGGTCTCTCCCTTTAAGTTGTAAAAATTCCTTTACACAGTATGGCAAAAAATATAGTTTTTTCTAAACAAATATATTTCAGAAAAAAAGCTAAATTATGTTAACAAAGATCTTTGAAAAGAAAGAAGTTTCCTCGAAATTTCGACAATAGTCTTCATTCGTTAGTGTGTGTGAAAAACTTTAAGCTTCAAGCATTAGCAGATATGTTCAAAACGCAGAATTATTTTTGATAAGAATATGTATTATAAAAATCGTAAAAAAGTCGTATTTGAACTTTAAGTTAAGAATATTTTATTATAAATGAATCTCCTAAAAAGTCAAGTCGTTTGACTTTGAACTTTATTCTGTATCTAACCCTATCTTGTCTATATTTTGTATTATCTAAACTTGAAAAAAATAAAATAAAGCTTGAGCATGAAATAGTTAAATATCCACAGAGTTTTTGTGCTTATAGAACTCCACTGTCAAGGCATCAGAACTTGGAGACAAATCAGAACCTGCAAAAACATTTTTATTTTATTTTATTGATTTTAGATAAATTTTTGGCGAAGTGACAATGGCAGTGTCCTGTCTTATTTTTTATAATCAAAGATTTTTGTTTAGATGCAAAAGTTTACATTTTTAAAAATTTACTTCATAACAATTAAAACAATCAGGATCCATTTTTGTTCAAGGTGGATCCAGGATCTGTATCTGGATCCGCATCAAAATGAAGTGGATCCTTTAAGCACTGACATATACATTAAATAAAGCGTGGCTCAAAAATCTTTGACATGAAGACGACATTTTATCTATCTTATTTGTATTTGATGATATAAAGCAAAATTTTTATCAGTAGCTTTAAATTTAACTAAGGTAAAATTACTCTGTTAAGTTACTATAAATTGGTATTCCCAAGGTAATAATGCAAGGAAAGTTAATTGCGGTCGCGTGTACTCTGCGTACATATTGAAACCAGTTCTCTCTGGGCGGAATTTGTAAAATAGAATAGATGCATCAGTGTTCGTCTAGTATCCGAGGAAGATAAAAGCATTTCATTTTGATAATTTTGAAAATTCACATAAAAGTTTCCTATGACCAGAACATATGTCATAGATTATTTTTGTGAAAATAGATGTAATGTAAGACTGTCACATCCGTCTTGTGTTTACTTTTCCGCCCAAAGACAGTGCACTGCAGTACAAAAAATGCGTACACCTCTGTTATTCCAGAGTTTTATGAGTCCCACTGTAGTGTAAATTAAGTACCTGTAACAGAGGCCATGTGCGGCAAACTTTCTTGACGTGATACACCCCGGCTTACTGGCTTACTTAATTCTTCGACACAAAAAAAAACTTATTTATTTTTGAATATTATAAATGTGTTTCTATTATTTTGTCCATCTCCTCCCATATTAATAATATTTTCTGAGCTGAAAACTTTAGAATGGTGGATAACAAGATTAATGCTTAACCTCCTGGTTTTACTAAACCCAAGATTATTTTAAAACGCATTCGATATCCGAGAAAGAAGTTAAAAATTTAACCAATCAGCGTGTCACGTTAAGAAAAACTCTTTAAATTTTGAAAAACTGGTTTTGATTTCTGGTGTTGATGGTGTCATATTAATTGAACTAAACATCGATTGAACGAACGTAAGTTTTGGATTAATGTTCATTAAGACTAACGTTCAAAATGACATTATTCCTTACATATGTTTTTTAGCAATTTCATATTAACATGATAAAATTTATATTTGTTTAAATGCTCTAAAAGCCGGCTTGTGAACAGCTGACTTTAATTCAATCGGATATTAGTCCAATCGATATAGAAATGTATCTGTAATTGTTACCAAACGTAACTTTTATACACTAGAAATATCCAAAAAGAGGATTGAGAAAAAAATCAGAAGTGTGTACATTGGATAATCAGATTAAGCGATCGTGATTAAGGATATCTCATTCTAAAGTTTTCAGCTCTGGTGAGGTAAAACAAAAAAGATAGATAAAAATACGTTAAATGTCCCATTTTACCTGTGGAACTAACAATGTTAGGCACTGAACTTGCTTTAAATTCTTTTTTCAATCTTTCGGTTCGAATAATTATCTCTTTTGTCACATATGCCTAAAAATAAAACAAATTATAGTAATGAAGTTTTTTTAATTTGTTTAAGAAAGAATTTTTTAAATTATTTACCTCTCTCCGTATCCGATACTTGAGACTAGCGGACATGTCAGGTATCAGGAGTCTAATCATCAACTTTTAAATTATTTACCTCTCTCCGTATCCGATACTTGAGACTAGCGGACATGTCAGGTATCAGGAGTCTAATCAACAACTTTTAAATTATTTACCTCTCTCCGTATCCGATACTTGAGACTAGCGGACATGTCAGGTATCAGGAGTCTAATCAACAACTTTTAAATAAAAATTTAAATGTAGGAAAATATGCAAAACGTTTACTCAAAAAGGTAACTGTAAAGATTCAAGATTCAAGATTTTACACAAAGTTTTTACATCTTCTTCTATATAATAAAGTTCTTCGGCTCTTCGCTCATACATATATGTATATAAGAAAATAAGTGATTTGAAGTTAAATATGTGTATATATATATATATATGTGTTTCAAAATTGTATACAGCATGGAATACTGCTATTAGAATTCTTTTTAATNCCCTGTCCTAATCCTTTAATTTTGTTCCTAATTATCAATTTTTTTGTTCCTAAAAAATCTTGCCACCCCCTCACTTAAATCCTTTGTCCGCCCCTGCAAGAATGAATAATTTATATGTTGAAGGATTCGATGATTACGTAATAACTGAAATGATAAACATGTTATGTAGTGAGTAAAAATCAATGTTTTCTATTTGTGCATAATTTTGCAGATTTTTTCTGTTTTATTTTGGAAACCTGTATTTCAAACAAAAATGAATTTAAGCAAATTTAAACTACACCATTTATATAAGTATTTATATCTTTGTGTGTGAATAAATCTTTATAATATAATATATTTGTCAGTTATAGCTGGCCAAACGGCTGTACTAAAGTGGCTGACTTTATTTGAGAGAAGTCTAGGGTACCCGGGGGTAACATTGGCCAGTAAAACTAGATTTTCCCCTCAATATTTTATTTTTTTGTGAAGTGTTTTTTAAATTCCACGGGCAACGCTGGAAACTTCAGTTAGTCATCTATATAATAAAGCTCTTGGAGTTTATATATACATATTATATATATATATAAATATATAAAATATATATTTAAACATCTAAAATGCATATTTAAACTGAAAAAGTTGAAAATACTATATATATATAAGCAATAGTTGGTCAAACGGCTGGGTAACAAAGGTTAAAAAAATCAAAATTTTTCATCACTTGCAAGTGAGTTCATAAAAGTTTTGGGTATGGTTACCATAAAGAACTCTCTTTCTTTACGGGAATAAAAAATAAGAATAATGAAGGTTCTTTAAATATAGAAAGAGAATTTGCAATCTAAAAACGTTAATTTCCTAACAGTCATGATGGTAACAGCTACTACATTCTCAAACACAACAACAAACAACAGCTGAAAACATTTTTATGGTCAAACAAATTTTAAAATAGAAAACTTTTCCCCCTGAATTTTAAATTATTATCATCTACATTTTTTTAAAATCTATGATATGCGTACAATATATGAAAATCTATGATATGCGTACAATATATTAAAATCTATGTTCTATTTGCGAACAAAATTACTTGTGAATTTCGATAAAACAATCTTTGAATATACTTTTGTATTGAATCTAAAAATGTCATCGTAAATTCGGAAACTCAATTTGCTGATATAGAATAAAACCGGTAAACTTAGAAAAGTCCAGATTTTGAAAATTTTGATTTAAATAATAATTTGACAGGGTGCAGGGACAGTTGAATTTTGAACCATCAAGAATTCCTTTGCAAACATGATATGGTAGAATATCAAGCTGCGTTGATATTTAAACTCATCCCAGGGAGGTAGATTATAGTCCTGATATCTACATAGTCCAGTACTGTTCCCATCTCCATCACTAAACATGGTAGATTATAGTCCTGATATCTACATAGTCCAGTACTGTTCCCATCTCCATCACTAAACATGGTAGATTATAGTCCTGATATCTACATAGTCCAGTACTGTTCCCATCTCCGTCACTAAACATGATGTATTATAGTCCTGATATCTACATAGTCCAGTACAGTTCCCATCTCCGTCACTTAAGAGAGAGGTACATTAAAATCCGAAAGCTAATATGTTTGGCTTAAGAAGGGTAGCAGAAAAACAAGCGAAAAAATTAAGAATCAAGCTGGAACCCATGATTCTCATTTTTTAAAGTAATTTTTATTCATATTTTATAATCTTTAATCATCAATAAGAAGAACCTACCTCTGCTCAAAGTAGGAGAGTGTAAAATTCACATAATTTTTAAGCGACCCGTCCTCACTGTAATGAACTCGATACACAATCTTTTATCGATCAAAGCTATTATTTAAAAAAAAACGTTTATTTGCTTTTGATACCAGAGTCTGAATTTAATGAATTTGAGCCGCGTCTCAAATCCTCCAAAAACCAGTTTCAATTTAGTACCGGCTTAAATCTTGAAAAATTGAATACAATTTTAAGTGGAAGCAACCATATTTGAGCCGCGTCTCAAATTTAAGCCACGGCTCAAATTCTTTAATCTGGCCTTAGTGTTGTTCATTGGATTGAAAAACACATTTAAACTTAAAATTAATAAAAAACATTTGCGTTTTATTTGCAGCAGAGTGTTCTTTGTTTACTGTACAGGGTGAATAAGTAAAGATAATTACATATTTTAGGATTTTATTAACTAGATTGAATCCTGAACAAAAAATCAATGATCAAATAAAATTGTATAGTCGTCACTCGACATATTTTTACTGTATCTGTGATATAAGTCACCAATGATAATAATTAAGCAAAATTTAAACAAAAATTTTTATCATTTTGAAAATGGAGCTGACTAAATAATAAATGTAATTAAACACAGGAATCTATGTCAAAAACAATTTATTTCCTATTTATATATTTTTATGCCTTAATTTTGCAATATGCATAACATAAAATCGTTATTTCTTGGTTTTGCAAGAACATGTTTGATTAATTCCTTGGGTATGAACTCGCTTGTGAATGCTATTATAAAAGCGTTTGTTATAACTGCTATCCTTCCTAAAATAATTATCATTTAAAAAAATTATTAAGTCCCCAAAAAAGATTTTTTTAATGTGTTTACCTAAAGTTTCTAGAATATCAAACCATATTCCAATATCTCGAACCTTCTGAGCAACTGGTCTCCTAGACATGGCACAAATTTAAAGGTTGTAAAACAAAAGGGGGGAAACAATAACTAACCATCATAAATTAAACATTTTGAACAAACCATGAGACACCCTGTATGGTTAACTATGACGTAATCTGAACAAAGAACCAGTATGTTTGACTTACCATGATACAACTTGTATATCTAACCTTTTACGATTAATAATACCATGATACATCCTGTACAACTAACCATGAAACATCCTGTATAACTAACCATGAAACACTATGTATAACTAACCATGAAACACCCTGTATAATATAACTAACCATGAGACACCCTGTATAACTAACCATGAGACACCCTGTATAACAAACCAAAAACACCCCGTATAACAAACCATAAAGCACCCTGTATAACAAACCATAAAGCACCCTGTATAACAAACCATAAAACACCCTGTATAACAAACCATAGAACACCCTGTATAATTAACCATAAAACACCCTGTATAACTAACCATAAAACACCCTGTATAACTAACCATAAAACAGCCTGTATAACAAACCATAAAACACCCTGTTAATCTCACCAAATTCACTAACCTGTGTAGAATAAGCAACTTTTTCGCATCAAGTCTCATCTCCAAGATATTGTTCAGAAAAGCTAGAAAAAAAACATAATTATGTGTTAGACAGTTTTCTAAACATTTCCTTTAAATAAATCCAAACTGAATTTTTATTTTGTAGAACTATTTTCTGAGTATTGTTGCATGGAATCCGTTTCATTTAAATGAAAATCCATATCTTTGATTTAACCCGGGAAAAAGATAGGTTCAAGATTTACTTTCAAAATACAGATCCGAATCCGATATTTACCATACAAATTAAAATTTATTATTTAAATTGACATTTATAAAAAAATATTAGAATTGTAATAAAAATGAAAGTTAAATGACAACTTCGTATTTGTTCAATACGACAGATATTGTTGGACACCTTGAATGCTGAGATGTATAACAAACTGGAGCGTATCCTATTTTGACCGATGGTTTATAAGCAATGCCTAAAAGGTGGAGTTACGGGGGGGACTAGGAAACCCTACATCTCTGTATCTACAATACTTATAGAAAAGCTGAGGGATTATCTAAGACACCCTGTATTTACCTAGTAATGGAGCTAGAGGGAAAGCACAGACGAATATGGTTATAAAACCGTACTGTATAACCATCTCAAGATACTCATAAAACAATCCCTGAAAATAAACAATTGATTTTCATATTTTTCTACTCATCTTTAAATTCACTGCTTTTACTAGAACCAAAAAAATACTTATAATTTCTATTATTTTTATCATTATTTATAATATCTATTTTTTTCAAATTACTAACTCTATCGCTCTCACAAAACATTTCATATTTAAAAAATCTAGAATTTTTGAGAGTTTATGAATGGCATAAACTCTTTAAAAGGACATATATTTTTTGGGACACCCCATAGGCGTACAATTCCTCTACACTTGTAGGATTCCCATTCTTCCCATGCGCAAAAACCTTCTTGTTCAAATAAAGAAGACTTTTTAGTTTCTTGTCTTCTAGTTCTATGTACTCCATGTACCTGATGCCCCCACTCCACGAGCTTAAAATCTCTAACGTACTGCGGAGTGTTTTCTTCCTTCTGTTTATCCTTCCCTCCCAGACAAGAGAGTGTACCATGCCTGTACAGTTTGTAGAATGTACAATATAAAAAGTATAAAAAAGTACTAAAATTACAAAAAAAATATTGATAATTTTCTAAATTTCAATAAGGGACAATGTCAAAAATATGCAAAGTTTCTTCTGTAATCAAAATCGGGGATTCAAACCGTAAAAAAAGTTATGATCAGTCACCATTTTCTGTTGAAAAATTAGCCAAAAGTCGAAAAAATGAATTTGTAAAAAAAGCTAGGATCTAAAGAACTGTTAGAAAGGCTGAAAAAATAGATTTGACGGACTGGGAAATGAAAACCGTCAACCTTTGATCAAAAGTTGTAAAGATTTAAAATGAAATTAGTTACATTATGTTTTAAGTTTTGAAATCAAAGTTTCTATGTATGATTTTAAACCCAAAACATTCATTTATCCTTTCTTGACAAATTAATTTATGGAACCTGTCATCATTAACCAATTTTTAACCCTTCATTTTGAACTAAATTTTTAAAAATTGTATCTTTAAATTTTAGAAAGATAAAGACAATAAGTTCGCCAGAAAGAAAGCGTCAGAAAATTTTTATCATGATTACTTGAACCTTTTCTTTACATTAACTAGATCTCTTAGTTTAGCAAGATTTACTTTTTAGATTTTTTTTTAGCAATTTCATCAAATATTTTAATTTTAAAGGGACTGGAGAGTGGAAGTGTAATACTAAGTTACCCCCCCCCATCTTCAGAGTGGCATGTTATATTCACAATGGTACCCTTTAAACCTTTGTCTAATCCTTGGTCGGAGCAAAGATACACGAGATATATTTGTATAATTGAACAAATTTTTTTTTCAATTGTCGGTTCTCTTTACAAGTGACTTGACAATTCATGCTTCTTTTTAGATCGAAAAACGCATAAATTAAAACTTCCATATTGTTACTAAGATGGGGGTTCAAAGATAATATTGGGAATTGTATATGCCACTCTTAAAATGAAGGGTTTAACTTAAAATTGTGTTTAACAATGTCTATCTGTATATATATTATATAAAGTTGTAATCTCTGTTTGTCTGTTTGTTTGTCCGATCATAATTCAGGAAACCCTTAACGGATTGGCCTCAAGTTTTGATTGGAGAACTCGGAAGAACCACGAGAATGTTCTTAGCTTTTATGATTCTAAGTTAAATGTCGGTGGATTTTTTTAGGAAAAAAGCTAAAATCTTAATTTAATATATCAAGCGCGGTTAAACGGCGGGAGTATATATATGAGTAACCTGGGCAAGGCTGGGCTCCCAAGCTAGTATATATATAAAGTTGTAATCTCTGTTTCTCTGTCTGTCTGTCTGTTTTTTGTCCGATCATGAACCCCGGACAGATTTGCATCAAATTTTGATTGGGGAACTCGGGAGACCCACGGGAATTTTGTTAGCTTGGTTATGAGATTCAAAGTTGAGTAAGTCGACTTTTATCGGGATAGCTAATTTACGACCGAGAAGGGGTAAAAGGCGGTCCTGTAATTATGAGTAACCTGGGTTCCCAAGCTAGTTAAGTAAACAAAACCTTAATTTAATTAGATTGAAGAGTCTCCAGAGCAGAGGCATATAGTACTCTAGGATAGACATGAAGAACTGCTTTCCAAAGAAAATGATTCCTAACTGAATACATAGTTCCATGAAACAGCCACCAGGGGAACACTCTTCCTGCCTTAACAGACAGAACAAAATTTTATTTACTTAAATGAAGAACAAAATAAATGTTAGAAAACAAAAAAACAAAAAAATCTGTTTATCGAATTAAACTTTTATTCGGCTCAGTTTCATTTGCCATAACACTTTTGCAATAAATACTTTTGCCATAATTACATTTGCCATAATACATTTGCCATAAGTAACGCTTGCCATAAATTACACTTGCCATAAGTTACAATTGCCATAATGGTTACACTTGCCATAATTAAACTTGCTATAATTACACTTGCCATAATTAAAATTTGGTTAGAATTAACAAACATATAGATATATATTTTTTAATTAAAAATTAAATACAAAATACAATCTAATTTAGAGACAGTTCGAATTTGGGTTCGAATTCTAACTTAGCACATTTTAGCCGAACATTTCCAATATTTAACTTCCGTAGACAAGGCATTGTCTACATAGGTGTAGTTGTTGTTGTCTGGAACCATTGGTTTACCCTTACTTGTGGTCTCAACGGTCCTCCATTGTGAGAAATCAACTAGTCTGCTAAAAACAATGAGAAAACTAAAGGTTGGGAATTTTCATGGTAAAATTTCCCGCATTCACAATAAAAAAAGAGAGATTTATATCTTTTTAAAAATTAGAAAATTATGACAAAAGTAATTATGGCAAGTGTAACTTATGGCAAGTGTGACTTATGGCAAGCGTAACTTATGGCAAGTGATACTTATGGCAAAGATATTATGGAAAGTGTAATTATGGCAAAGATATTATGGCAAATGAAACTGAGCCTTTTATTCACCTATATCCAAAAAAGCGTATGTAAGCTCCAGGTCTGCCAATATATTGACCTAAAACATATTGTATTATTATTAACGAGTCACTCAATTAAAGTTTTAGTAAAGTCATTCAAAACATTAGTTTTTAAAACTTCTCAAGGTTTACTAAACTAAATAAAATAAAATTTACCTTTGATGAATGCTATGTAGAATATTGAAAAGTAGTAATTAACAAATTGGAAAAGATAAATTTTTAACGTCAGGGAATCATCAAACTCAGTCTGTGTTCTCCTGTGACCATTGTGTTTATATTTCATTTGTTTATTTTCTGACATTTTTGTGGGTAACCCTGTATCATATTTTAATCTCCCTGTCTGAAATGTATGCAAATTAAAAATTCAAAGTATAAAATGTTTTGATGGGATATTCTAATTTGTTTGATCAAGTTTCAAAGGAAAAAATAATTATTTCTTTAACGCAATTGCCAAACAAATTTCAATATCTTTTTAAAGGCAAATATGCATAGGTATAGTGTCCTACAAAACGCGTTTAGAAATCTAGAAATAAATAAATTAGAAATTAGAAATATAATTTATTGTCCCTTGCCTTTCTTGTTGTTGGTTTCTAACTTAATTTTTGTTTTGTTTTTTAATCATTAATATTCAATATTATTATTAGAGAAAATAATCACTGATATCAAGAATTAAATAAGCAAATCTAAAAATAAAATTTAAAAAAAGTTTTTGTAAATGGAATAACATAAATCCAACGATTCCTGAGTTCTTTTTCTGTCAACCAGAAGGCAATCTGTTCGTAGAACCAATTAAAGAGGAGAATAAGAACAAGATTAATCCCGGCTCCTAGAATGTGTAAATATATTTATTTTTGCAAAAATTCTGATTCAAGAAGTTATTGAAATGCATCAGAATTGAATCGAAAACCAATAAAAGAAGACATGCAAAGAAAACTGACAACACAATATTTTAAAAATCTAATTTGTTTGAGAAAAATGATATAAAAATAAATTATTTACCAGTCATAGATATAAATAGAGACCAGTTTCCTCTGATTGTACTGTCATGTACAGCGGCTAACGCCACCACCATACTCATCCTACAACACCATACATTATACACTGTAAAATAACCAAAAATCAGTGGAATGATTGTCGTCTTCCTTCCTTCTTAAAGATTTAATTTTTTAAACTGATTTATTTCTAAAAATGTACCAGTGCATTTTACAACCACAGGTTAAATTTTTTTTTTTTAAATGCATGTAAAAGAAATTGTATCCTTAATTACAAGTAGATTTTTCTTTGAAGGTTTGTTTAATCAAATTGACACAGGAATATCCATGCTTTTAGCTGTGAAAATTAATCTTTCTTAATTTGTGGTTACTCTATAGGATTCAGAAGTGAATAGCGGATATCTGCTACATAAAAGATGATGAAGGAAATTGCCATTACTAAATATTTTCAATAAAGGTTTAAAGGGTATCCATTTGAATCGGGCAAGCTCCGTTTTAGTCCCTTTAAAATGAAAAAATAGACGACAATTGTACCAAAGTTTATTTTCTTTATAGTATAAGGAAAGATTAATATTCCTTTCTGGAACTCACGCTGAATCTGATTGGATTAGTTTTGTAAAATATAAAGAGCAATGTTTTGTTAAAAAAATAATATTGGACAAATATAAGCAACAAAATATAGATATATTTGTTACGATAAACTTAAATATATCGACATATTTTGAAGAAAAAACTGAGGTCATAAAACAAATTATTGGTGGGGAGGGGGTAGGTTAAAGAATTATTGATTGATTGTCTGTGATACCTGTACAAAATAACAGCTATGACAGCTGCGACAGCTAGAAAGATGAGAAGATAGACAGATGTCCAGGATATGAGAATTCCTGGCAGTTTCATCTAAAACAGCTTCATGATGCAGAACTTTTTAGAAAGAGTAATTTTATTCTTTAACATTAATTAATTAACCAATTAAGTTGCTAATTAAATAAAAACAATGCGACAAAGCAGGAAAATTGTTCGGGTAACACTTATAAAATGAATTTAATCTCTTCCTGCGATGATTTAGCGGGAAAATGTTGAAGAAAGAATAAGAACGGAACATGGGAGAAAACTAGTAAGGGAAATGAGGAAAAAAATGCGAATAGAACAAAATGAGCAACGGGCAGAAATCACAAAGAAAAGGGGAAGATAATAAAGACGTCAATGAGGAAGGAAAATAGGATTATAATGTGAAAAAAAAGAAAAAAAAGCGATAATGTAAATGGACAGGAAAAAATCATTGCTGTGATTCCAACCATTTTGGTGTAAAAAGTTAAAACGGATACCAGATATTTCTAGAAATTTTACTAATACTATCTTTAGAAAAAAATTCGACATTTTATTTTTTTTACACATTTTTATATTTGCCTAAACTACGATTGACTAAGGAGAGATCATCAATCTCAACATTTTTATGACGTTTGATATTTGTGTTTTCAAATTTTTATCTATACGATGAAGACGTCTCTTCTCTTTAAGCTTTTACAAATTACAAGTTTACACGTTTATCTGTATCCAAACTGTTTAAAAGCTTGGTAAAAATATTAAAATCGAAAGTCGTCTTCAATGTTTTGATATAAACGACGACGACTGTAGAAGATTTCAATCTTAGGATTCGCATATTTTTATAAATCCAAAAAATCCTGAGCATTGGTAAAACTCAAGCCTTAAAAATGTTTTGAATAACAAAAGTCTTCAAGAAGAAACTACATCGCTGACAATTACCTTCCAGAATGGAGGTTTAGGTTCACTGGTCTGTGTGATGAAGTTTACAGTCTTATCCTTCACATTTCTGTAATAAAATAATATATTTCATATATAATATATATCCTAGCTGGAGTTTGTTTAGCCTGTTACCCCGGGTACCCATGGGTTTCCTAAAAAAAATGTCATCCCATTATGCGGTCTGGCCGTTTAATATAGTTCCAGCATCTATATACATGTCTGCTAAACTTTAATATTGCAAACTTTGTTTATTCTCGTTTAAATTTTATTGTTACATTCATTTCACTATTCTTTATCTACATTAAATTGTAAAATTTATTATATTCTTTAAATAATTTCCTTACATTTATATAAATATTATATTTGGTATGATTTATACATTCTTTGATAAACTTCTTTTTCTTTAGAAAAAACGCGTCTAAGATAACAAGCAAAGGATGATCAAATATAGAAAAAAAATGTTAGACAAAAGACTTAAAAAAAAGAAAAAAATTGCTGTATTAGATATTGTTCAGTATTACATTACATTAATTTATTCCTTTTTCTTATCAGGAATATGTTTAGTCAGAGAATATTAGGGATTGAGCAAACTTTCTTACTTTTTACTACCCTGAGCTTGATATTCTGGTCTAGGATGTATACCTGAGCTTGATATTCCATGGTCTAGAATATATACCTGAGGTTGATATTCTTGTCTAGGATATATACCTGGCCTTGATATTCTGGTCTAGGATATAAACCTAGCTTGTTATTCTGGTCTAGGATATATACCTGAGCTTGATATTCTGGTCTAGGATATATACATACCTGAGCTTGATATTTTGGTCTAGAATATATAACTCAGATTGATATTCTGGTCAAGGATATATACCTAAGCTTTATATTCTGGTCTAGAATATATAACTTAGATTGATATTCTGGTCTAGGATATATACCTGAGCTTGATATTCTGGTCTAGAATATATAACTCAGATTGATATTCTGGTCTAGGATATATACCTAAGCTTTATATTCTGGTCTAGAATATATAACTTAGATTGATATTCTGGTCTAGGATATATACCTGAGCTTGATATTCTGGTCTAGAATATATAACTCAGATTGATATTCTGGTCTAGGATATATACCTGAGCTTGACTAGATATTCTGGTCTAGGATGTTCTTCTTCAGGATCGTATCCAAAAACGTCCCATCTGAAAAAATGTAATCAAAATTAAAATTAGAAGAATTAAATGTTTTTGGGGTTTGTTTAGCTTTCTATAGGGTAATATTGTTATATGTATTTAATAATTTCATTTTGGTATATTTTATAAAAATTGTTGGCATTATCTGCTTTAGAAAGCCCTCATATTTTTTTTTGCTTGATCAACAATTAAGCATAAGAGGGAGAGATTGATAGGGGGTTTATTTAGTTAATATAAACAGGCAATTAATTAGATCTATTTATCAGATCTCAGGTTTTTAAGTGACCCCCCATTTAAAAAAAGGGGCATGCCTTATTCTAAACAGTACAATTCTCAACAAATTTTTGAAAGTGAAATCATGGATATCTCATTCATTCTTGATGAGATAAAGGTGCCGTCGTAAATCATAAATGCAACTTTGTGAAAAGGGGGTCATTTTAAATTACGTCCACAGTACCTTTAAGCTTTGTTCATTTTTAGACAAATGATATGGATAATGATAGTTTTTACAAAAGATTTTTTTAACTTTATCAATTTATTTATTTTTTAATTTTTTTTTTTTATGAAAGATTCTATAATTAGTTACCTGTGGGATATTTCCGCTGAATATCGCTTCCAGCATTCTTTTCAAACACAAATTTTTTTCGGCATTAAAGAGGGGATTTTAATAGGATTTGGAACAATATTTCCGAAATTAAATTCTTTTTCCATTGTTTCTACAAAAAGATTTCCAAGTCGTTTGTAATGAGCTGATTTTAATAAAATAAATTGAACATTTTCATATTTATTTCAGATATAACCAACATTGCATTGGCAAGTGTAACTTACTAGTTAATAAAAACAAGAAAATCGACTTTGATGTTATCTTAGTCGATTTTTTATTCAGAATGAACGGAGACAAATTTAGTTAGATCGTGTATGTAATATTCTAAAGTTTTTAGAAACTTTAATTTCTTTTTCTAGTCTGGACTCTGCCCCATAAATCATATTTTGCACTGAAGGATCTATTCTCCTGCTGCTAGGGAATCCATTAAGGGTGTATAACGGCTAGTCATTGAAATGAGATTTGCCACATTAACTCTTCTCTTCCAAAAAAAACTACAACTTTTCTAATCCTAATACCTTTGCAACCCAATCCCGGAGACTTAAGATATTTCATGAACTGTGAATTCTGTTTCAAATATCAAATCTTTACATATTCAGGGTGAAAAGATATAGGGATTAGCAAATTTGAGTTTGTGTAAATAAACTGAACTCCTTTGAGAGAATTTTTTGGATTTAAATATTTAAAATTCAGAGATGAATTCTTGAAATAAATCCTGAATTATTCCTGAAAACATTCCACAAACATTTTTAATATACTCTGATCCATGTATAGCACTGTGTACTATTCTGCACATTTTTGAAGGAATTTCAAATTTGAATATCACTTTCTGAAACAGTCCTTGATTAGGTCGAGTTCTTTATAAATATTGAACTGGTAAATTTTTCTAGTTAAAATCTGAATGGAACAGAGTTCAGCCGTTTATTTGATTTTAACATTATTTTGAAAGTTTCCATTTTCTTTTCTTTTAATTTCGTCACAATCACTATTAGTTTCGTTATTATTTTCAACAAAAAAACTTAGATTAATTGATTGATTGTGTTTATCCCTAGAAAGAATACGGCCCAAAGAGACATGAAGACTGCAAAGAATACTGTTGTACCATTGTCAAACAAATACTTGGCCTAAATCAACAATATTCCTAACATTGGCTTAGATTAATTGATTGATTGATTGATTGTGTTTATCCCTAGAAAGAATACGGCCCAAAGAGACATGAAGACTGCAAAGAATACTGTTGTACCATTGTCAAACAAATACTTGGCCTAGATCAACAATATTCCTACTTTTATTACTTGTTAAAGTATGCGTCAATTATTAGTTCTTTGATAAAAATATGTAAAAGGCAGGGTTACCCACAAATAATATTTCATTAAAACGACTAAAACTTTAAAAATAACTTTTGCATAATTTCTTAAGGCTTTTTAATAAATATTGACAAAGGAATTAAGTCTTTGTCACAAACTTTGTCCCCTCCCTTCCGTCACTAGTAGAAGATACAGTATTTTCAAAGGTTTTCAAAGGTAATTATTTGTTTGTTATTCTTAAATTTTTAAATCCCTATATCTTTGGAACCCGATGGAGTGATATTTCAAACTTAGATTATTTGATCCAACAGTATACTTAGTTTGAAATATATAAGGTCTAAGACATTGGGTTGCAAAAATATAGGGATTGAAAAATCAGAGTGTGTAGAAAAGACTCAATTCCTTTGTATTAATCATTTATGATAAAGAAACTGGATAAGTTGCCACAAATGCAAATTTTCTGATCATTTTATTTTCTAACCCTAAAGGTGAACATTTCGGATATTTCAAATTTTTACTATTTCATCTAGCAGAGTTTAGAGTCTGAAACAAAGTGAGATACAAGGATTAGAGTTTGTGATGACTAATCAGTTCCTTAGTTGAAAATATAGGGGAGAGATGTTTAGAGAAAGTAAATAATAATATTTAAAAAATATTAACAATATCTATCTACAGTGATAACCAGAATACTGCAGAATAGGAAGACGACATTTCAGCAAAAATTAAGTTATTTTATGGTGATACAAAGCAAGTTGGAGAACTCTGTACGACGACGAAATTAATCTTTGCTTTTTTTAATTAGTTGAGTTGGTTGACTTTTGTAATGAAAGTTTTAAACCAGACAAAGCCAGGTTCCCAAGCTTAGAAATAAGGAAGAAAAACTTGTTAATTAACTAAACTAGTTTCTTAATTAATATTAATTGTTGGAATTCCCTTAGAGAGATGGCAGGCGTCCTGAAGTTTCCAGGGTTCGCAGAAATTATCACAGATCGGGCACATTGTGGTGTTTGCCATCCCACCACCAGGACATATATCATCACTGCAAATAAAATATTATAATTAAACCCATGGATATGTTGGTCACTCTAAACCGCAATAAAGTTGACAATAGAGATTATTTCTACATTTTACCGAACAAATATTTTGGTCTGAGTAGACTCTTTTCAGATTTGAGCATTTGTTACTAGAATTACGATAATAAAAAAACTTGTTGCCGTGTTATGTTAACCATAGTTATTGTTTAAATGCAGTATATATATATGTACTTTGAATACTGATCATTGGCAAGTATTCAATCAATGGAACATTTCAGTATGAACCAATTTTTACAAACGGGCAATTTCACCCCCTCCCCCCTGCACACTCTAACCTAGTCTTAGGCGGAGGGCCCCTTGCCCCTACGTACACCTATAATAACCTATATTTACTTTGTCCTTACAGCCGAGGCGCTCTGCTCATTGCTTATCTTAGCTGCGCCGCCCGGCTTTCTAGTCTATTCTTTCAACAGTGCTCGGCTCCTTAGCCTGTTCTTTCAGCAGTGCTCGACTCCCTATCCTATCCTTTCAGCAGTGCTCGGCTCCCTAGTCTATTCTTTCAGCAGTGCTCGGCTCCCAAGCCTATTATTATGGCATTGCTCGGCTCCCTAGCCTATAATTATAGCAGATGCTCGAATCCCTAACCTATTCTTACGGTGTTCTCGGCTCCCCAGCCTATTCTTTCAGCAGTGCAAGGCTCCATGGCCTTTCCTTGTTGAGGCCGGCGCTCGAATCCCTAGCCTATTCTTTCCGCAGGCAGTGCTCTGCTTTCTAGCCTATTCTTTCAGCAGTGATCGGCTCCCTAGTCTAACCTTTCAGTAGTGCTCGACTCCCTAGTCTATTCTTTCAGCAGTGCTCAGCTCCCAAGCCTATTCTTTCAGCAGTGCTCGGCTCCCTAGTCTATTCTTTCAGCAGTGCTCAGCTCCTTAGCCTATTATTATAGCATTGCTCGGCTCCCTAGCCTATTATTATAGCAGTACTCGGCTCCCTAGCCTATTATTATAGCAGTGCTCGGCTCCCTAGCCTATTATTATAGCATTGCTCGGCTCCCTAGCCTAATATTATAGCAGTGCTCGTCTCCCTAGCCTATTTTTATAGCAGTGCTCGGCTCCCTAGCCTATTTTTTCAGCCGTGCTCACTTCTTGTCACCCTAGCCTATTAATATAGCAGAGCTCGTCTCCCTAGCCAATTAATATAGCAGTGCTCAGCTCCCTAGCCTATTATTATAGCAGTGCTCGGCTCCCTAGTCTATTATTATAGCAGTGCTCGTCTCCCTAGCCTTTTAATATAGCAGTGCTCAACTCTCTATCATATTCTTTCAGCTGTGCTCGGCTCCCCAAATCAAATCAAATCAAATCATGAATGTTGGGGAAGCTTTAGGCTCCATTTTCCAACCAAGAGTTTCAATTCCTGAATGAGAAATGGTTTTTCAGCCTGGATATGAACTCAATTCTGACTTTTGCAATGTATCTAGTTAAAGGATAAATTCCAATATTTGGTGACGAAATCCCAACAACACGACCAAGTTTGAGCCATACAACCATTTTTGGCACCCATTCATTCATGATGGATCATCATTATGGTAAACATGAATGAAGGGGAGCCCCCCCGATGGTTTCCTTTGTCTCTGCTATGCATTCCTGGGAATATAAAGCAGAGTGGATGTTTTTCAGCAGTTCTAAGCTCTCTAGTCTACTCTTGCCAGCTGTTCGGCTCTTTAGCCTGTCCTTACCGCGGTGCTTGGTCCTATAGCTTCTAGAAGCCCAGCTCCCTACCTTGTTTAGCAAACAAGTATATCTCTAGATCCGTATTAATTTTATATACAACATATTACATTTTCTGAATAATAACAAATTCTGAGAATGAATATTATTCTCCACAGGGGAATACAGTTTACAAATTACAATATACAAATTATAATATACAAATACAGGGGAATACAGTATACAAATTACAATATACAAATTATAATATACAAATACTGGGGAATACAGTATACAAATTACAATATACAAATTATGATATACAAATACAGGGGAAAACAGTATGCAAATTACAATATACAAATTATAATATACAAATACAGGGGAATACAGTACACAAATTACAATATACAAATTATAATATACAAATACAGGGGAATACAGTATACAAATTACAATATGGAAATTATAATATACAAATTACAATTCACAAATTACAATATACAAATTATAATATAAAAATACAGGGGAATACAGTAAACAAATTACAATATACAAATTATAATATACAAATACAGGGGAATACAGTATACAAATTACAATTCACAAATTATAATATACAAATTACAGTACACAAATTACATTATAAAAATTACACTACACTAATTGCAATACACAAATTATATTATTCAAATTACAATATTTTAAGTATAAAATACAAGTACAATTTACAAGTACAATATATCTACAAATTACAATGTTACAAAATATACAATACAAAAACTACAATATACAATGCTGAATTACGATGTACAATACAAAGATTACATTATACCATATAAAATTTACAATTTTTTGCATATTTAGAAAGAGTTTTGTTGCAAATCACAAAAATCCGTATCGAAATTATATAATGTAAAAAAAGGCAATTCAACACATCTCTGATTCCAATTGGTTAAAGTAAAAATCTAATAAAAGTATACAATTTCATGAGAATTTGCATTGTACAGTGTACAAACTATACAGAAGATATATTTACCCGTTATTTACTAGATGCTAATTTCATGAGAATTTGCATTGTACAGTGTACAGACTATACAGTAGATATATTTACCCGTTATTTACTAGCTGCTAATTTTCATGAGAATTTGCATTGTACAGTGTACAAACTATACAGTAGATATATTTACCCGTTATTTACTAGATGCTAATTTCATGAGTTAAATTTTATTCTTTCATGTTTCTTATATCCTAGATATGTGAGGGATGGATCCCATTATTTTCAAAGCACAAGTTTTTTTGTACGTTTGATAGTTAACTGATTGAAATTGTGGATACAGTGGTTACCAGAAATACGGACGAAAAACGATTTTAATAACAATGTTTTATTTTCTTACCTGGGAGTATCAGTACTCATTGTAATTAGTCCATACAGGAAACAGATCAACCCTACCAAACTAAACCAAACCATTTCTTCATTAATCCAACCAAACTAAACCAAACCATTTCATCATTAATACAACCAAACTAAACCAAACCAATTCTTTATTATTCCAACCAAACTAAACCAAACCAATTCTTCATTAATCCAACCAAACTACACCAAACCAATTCTTCATTAATCCAGCCAAACCAAATCAAACCAATTTTTATTAACCCTACCAAACAAAACAAGACCAATTCTTAATACAAACCAAACTAAACCAAACTTTTGTGGTGAAAACAACCAAACTTCACTCATCAAAACCAATAAAATATAATCTAATAAAAAACTATTCCAATAACATTCATATTTTTTTTTCAGGGAATTCTACCGATTAATTTTCCAGCAAGGAGAGAATGGGGTTAAATTATTCCTGCCATCTAAAAGTTCCAAGCTCAAGAAAGCAAAAATTTCAAGTATATATGCAATATGCATGAATTAGTTTGCCTAGGAGGTATAAGCATAAAGGTATAGAACCCCAACCAGGCAAAGTAAAGACCGATTTTAACTCCAAAATAATCTCGGACAGCATCTGATAAAAATATATATTAATAAATCAATTTTAAATACTGTTTTGAAAAAATTTTGAAATGGACGAAAAAAACGAATATGAATAACACAATAACATCGTCTCTTGTATTATCTGAAGTCGAAACTTTTGATTGTGAATCTCTAGACTAAGCATTAATCTACTTCTTGTGCAGATCTACGGATCAATTTAATTCCTCTTCTATATCCCCAAGGGATCATACCCTGCCTGGATAACTAAAATGAAGGAATCAAGACTTGATCCTTATATTTAAAAGTGCCCACACATCAGATATCGAGATCAAACATTCAGAAAAAAAATGTCCGACCTCTGAATGTTTTACCTAGAGGTTGATATTTCCAAAATTTTCTAATAGACGCCCATTCTCTATAGAGAAGATATCGCATAGATCCAGGAGTCTTAATTGTGCCATCATGCAGCGGATACGCGGCTAATCAATCAATCAATCAATACAGTTTATTTTTAAAAGATACTAAAATGTACGGTTTTGAAACTTTTGTTCGGATAAAAATGTATTAAATAATTTCCTAAGAACACTCTCTCGCTGATTAGCCGGCTGATTCCAAATGCAAAATCGTCGGCCGTATTGTCAGAATAACGTTTTCTTTGCAGAAGGAACTCTATTATTCGAGATCTAAAAAAAAAAAAATTGAAATAATATTCATTATAATTCGTAAATTATATAACTGAAGCTGATAACAAGCCCCTTAAAGTTTTCAAACTATCATATCCAGAGCTACGAAAAATATTTTTTTTAAAGACAACCCAAGTAATGACATAGAGATATATCGAAGACGGCCCTGTCTCAAGATTAAAATAAATAGACGTGTACTGTTCAGTAGTATAATTATTTATTTTTATGTTTATTGTATTGTATGTAATATGTATATTGTATATTGAATACTCGCCTCGTAGACTGGGAGAAGAAATTGACCTTGTCATGATCAAACAGATATTCTTTATCCCTGAAAACACGAAAAGAACATAATTAAAAATAAATAAATTTATTGTTTCTAGAAATATTCCCTTTCATCCTTTTCTAAGACTCAACGAAAATAATAAAATTATTACTGAGACAAATGAATGGATATTTTTAAAGAAAAAATAATTTGATTTTAATTCTAAAATATAAGAACAAAAAGAAATAGAAACATTTCATAATTGATTTGCAAAAAATGTAAAGTTTTAAATTCAAGTTTTCTGTGTTAAAAATTAATGTCCGCAATGTTATAGATATTTAATCCTTTCTTAGTCGGTGAAAAAAAATAAGACAGTTTGACCAATTGAAAACTCTACTCTCTCTCCTATTGACCGAATATTTTAGTAATTAGTTAATATAAAACGCTGGACTTGTTTCAAGAAAGCTAAAATTAAAGTGTTCTTGACATAATGAAACAGAATCACTCTGGGCCGTAGTAAATTTGAATTCGAACGGGACCTGCCCAGTTTGTACCAGCCTGCCAGATAACTGCGTCTACTGACCCGATCCTATCACCATATTATGTACAATACATCGCCATAACCAGACTAACATACGACAGGGGTCAATTTTTTTGCATAGTCCCGTCGAAGGGCTAACTATGAAAACTCCCATGGCGCGTTCAGACTTTTTACAGTACCCGGCCTAATCCTAGGCCTATTTGACCGACCCCACTGGCTTAGTCCACCGTGGAATTATAAGAAATACGGCGGGAGTTTTAAGGAGAATCTTTTCTTTAAAGTGAATAGTGAGAGTAAAGACATAATTTACAGGGATATGTCAAAAACCACTTTTCACAACGTGACCATAAATAAAATATATTTGTAAATATATAACCTGGAATATATTGCTGTATACTCATTATTCTAGAAAAATCCAAAATATTGAAATCGCACAACATGAAACAGCATGATAACTTTTATATCAAGTTAAATAAAATACAAAATGTAAATATTTGGTTTCCTTCGAGTTATTCATGATGTCAGGATCAGGATAGAAAGGTTCCTAGAGAATATAAATAAATAATTCAGAATTCTGAAAAACAAATTTAAAAAAAAACTAGATGTGTTTTTAGAGTCAAATTAAATGAACTCTATAATCTGAAGTGTAAATCATTAACTACAGCATACCCAGGGTCCAATATTTCTTTAAAGACTTTTATATCCCCCTAAAAATGTTTTATTAAAAGTAAAAATGTTGGGGAAATTATTATTATTCTGATCAAAGGAACTGATGCTAGCTCAAAACTCTTATTAAATGACTTTGCAACCTAATTGTTAAACCTTTGATCATTCAATTTTTCAATTTTATTCTTGGTCAATAAGCCAAATATAAAATAGCTAATAATTTTTTCACTATCAAGGTGCAAATATATAAAAATTAAAAAATATGAGAATGAGGACGCACAAATTTCACAAAAGGAGGATTATTCATTTGGCGTCACCTCCCGGTTTTTCTTTCAAGTCTGTAATTGTACTGTACAGCTTGGTACATGAAATGAGCCCTAGTTTACAGTACGGCAATTGTTTTCTTCTCTTTTAGCACAACATCGCCTTTACCGTTAAAACATTTTAAGTATTTAATAAGAATTATTTTTTTTTTTCCTGGAGACGTTCTAACCAAGATTTAACCCCGTCTGCTACATCTGAGAAGAGTGGTATTCTGGATTCATTCAGATATATTAGATAATCATCATTTATCAGATTACACAGTTAGATATATTAAATAAGCATCCTTTATCAGATTACACAATTAGATATATTAGATAATCATCCTTTATCAGATTGCACAATTAGAAATATTGGATAATCATCATTTATCAGATTACACAATTAGATATATTAGATAATCATCATTTATCAGATTACACAATTATTAGAAATATTAGATAATCATCCTTTATCAGATTACACATTAAGATATATTAGATAATCATCCTTTATCAGAATACACAATTAGCTATTTTAGATAAGTAGAGTAAAGAGTTTTCATGATCCTAGATAGATGCTGATTTTTGTGTTGTAAATTTAAATAAACTTTCCATTTACAATAATATGCATATTTTTATATTAACAGAACAAAATAATGCAAGTATTAACTAGCGTTCAAAATTTTGAAAGAAAGGGTTTGTGGTTAGAAAATCTATTTTAGAATGTATAAATATTTCATATATTAACGAAAATTTAACTTGACGTTGACATTTTCTGAAGAAATTGTTTAAATTTGTTTTGTTAATAATATGAAACAATGCCATTGAAACTCAATGCATGATATTTGAACAGATTATTTAATAAATATCCCTGATTGAATCCATAGTACTCTCTCTACTCCCTCCTATCTGGGTCAGTTTAAACTCAAGCATATCCACTCCCTCAGCTCCCTTCGATATTGGAAATAAATATAATATCTTCTCAAACTCAAGCATATCCACACTCTCAGCTTCCTTGCATACTGAATATAAATATATTATCTGGTTTAAACTCAAGTGTATCCACTCCTTTAGCTTCCATGGATATCGGATATAAATATATTATCTGGTATAAACTCAAGTGTATCCACTCCTTTAGCTTCCATGGATATGGGATATAAATATATTATCTGGTTCTGGTTTAAACTCAAGTATATCCAGTATTCACTCCCTCAGCTCCCTTGGATATTGGATATATCCATAAATCATATCGGTCCGTTCAAACTTGATCATATCCACCCCTTTAGATCCACTCCACACTTTTAAGCTAACTTAGATGGGAATATTGATACAAAAAAACATGATAATAGAAAAAAATATATTCAAAAATTATTCAAAAATAAATCGAATCTTTTAAATAATAAACAACGAGAAAGAAATTTTTCGATTTCATGAAAAAACCAAAATCTCGTTCATTTATCCTAAAAATAAATTCATAAATAAAACTTGTCGAATGTCGACCCACAAGTTTTCAATGTTAGAGAGAAAATATTTCCAAGACTGTCGTTCAGTCGAAAGATTGAAGGGTGGCATCGTTAATTTATACGTTATAGTTAAGACGATAGAAAGTTTTTAAATGAAATAGTTCTAAACTGAATATATATCATAAAACAGTAAAAATCCAATTTAAATATTTTTCTCATTAAAAAATATTAATGAGAATTAGAAAATTTGTACATAAAGTAATCGAATTCAGCTCTAATTTTTTCTAATTTAATTTTCGAAAACATCATGTGTTTTGCTTAACATGATTCGTCACTGTGTCAAATTTAATATCCTCGATATATTAAGCAGGTTTAGGTCTTGGATAAGTATACAAGAGGTTGGCAAACAGAGAAAATAAATTTATTCTATCAGAAAAGCAGTGGTTTAGAATAAACATTACCCCCCACCCCCTCCCCCCTATGGGCAAACTTATTCAAAAAAACATTTTTATTCTACACGATGTAACTCGTTACAAAATTGTTATTGTTAAAGAAAATTAACCCACTGCAAACTTACAAATTTTAACTTAAAATTATAACCTCCCCCCCATATCGATAAATTAAAACTATATTCACATTCAAAAGAGAGAATATATTTGAACTAGCTGATTTGTCCGGCGTTGCCCAGGTTACTCATAGTTAATCACGACATTTACCCGCGCTTGGTCTTAAAAAATGATTTTAATAGCGCCTAGAATTCCCCGTGGAATTCAAACAAATTCCTAAATGTTTAAGCCTATGTTATCCACAGGGACCCATGGGTTCCCTCATAGATTTTAGCCAAGCTGTTTGGCCAGCTATAGCTAGCCTGTATAAAATATACATGGATGAGCGAAGAGTTTTATTGTAAAGATTATATCTCAATATCAATATGACAATATAAATATCAAGGAACTGAGAAGTGACACAAATTAAGGGATAATTAGGTTGGATCTCATTAATTGCTTTTCAAATTTTCACACTGAACTAGACAAAATAGATAGGTCAAATTCATGCGACATTGTTGGTACTCCACTGCTTTGCTAATCTCAGTAGTTTCTGTTTAAACTCTGTGAATCTCATTACTCTCAGTTTAAACTCGTGTGAATCTCGGTACTCTCTATTTAAACTCTGTGAATCTCGGCACTCTCTGCTTAAACTCTGTGAATCTCGGTACTCTCTGATTGAACTCTGTGAATCTCGGTTCTCTGTTTAAACTCTGTAAATCTCGGTACTTTCTGTTTAAACTCTGCAAATCTCGGCACTCTCTGTTAAAACTCTGTGAATCTCGTTTCTCTCTGTTAAAACTCTGTGAATCTCAGTACTCTCTGTTAAAACTCTGTGAATCTTGACACTTTCTGTTTAAACGCTGTGAATTTCGGTTCTATCTGTCTAAACTCTGTGAATCTCGGTTCTCTCTGTTTAAACTCTGTGAATCTCGGCACTCTATGTTTAAACTCTGTGAATCTCGGTTCTCTCTGTTTAAACTCTGTGAATCTCCGTAATTTATGTTTAAACTTTGTGAATCACGGTACTCTCTGCTTAAACTCTGTGAATCTCGGTTCTTTCTGTTTAAACTCTGTGAATCTCAGTAGTTTCTGTTTAAACTCTGTGAATCTCGGCAATCTCTGTTTAAACTCTGTGAATCTCGATTTTCTCTGTTTAAACTCTGTGAATCTCAGTACTCTCTGTTTAAACTCTGTGAATCTCAGTAGTTTCTGTTTAAACTCTGTGAATCTCAGCACTCTCTGTTAAAACTCTGTGAATCTCGGTTTTCTCTGTTTAAACTCTGTAAATCTCGGTTCTCTGTTTAAACTCTGTAAATCTCGGTTCTCTCTGTTTAAACTCTGTGAATCTCGGCACTCTCTCATTAAACTCTGTAAATCTCATTACTCTACTAGCTGATTAAACTCTGTGAATCTCCGCACTCGCTCATCAAACTTTGTAAATCTCAGTAATCTACTCGCTGCTTAAACTCTGTAAATCTCAGTACTCTACTCGATTATTAAACTCTATGAATCTCCGCACTCTCTCATTAAACTCCGTAAATCTCAGTAATCTACTCACTAATTAAACTCTGTAAATCTCAGTACACTGCTAACTGATTAAACTCTGTAAATCTCAGTAATCTACTCGCTGATTAAACTCTGTAAATCTCAGTTCTCTACTCGCTGATAAAACTCTGTAAATCTCAGTACTCTAATCGCTGAATAAACTCCGTAAATCTCAGTACTCTACTCGCTGTTTAAACTCTGTAAATCTCAGTACTCTACTCGCTGAATAAACTCTGTAAATCTCAGTACTCTACTCGCTGAATAAACTCTGTAAATCTCAGTACTCTAATCGCTGAATAAACTCCGTAAATCTCAGTTCTCAACTCGCTGATTAAACTCTGTAAATCTCAGTACTCTTTGATTAAACTGATAAAGTTGGTCAGGAACACTGGATATTTGCAAACAGAAATAGCAAAGTTTTATTTTCCAAACTTGTTAAAATGGAAGTTTTAAAACTTTGGCGTATGGTTCAACAGTATTCCGGGTAGGGCGATGGATAGCAACTTTCCAAATACTATAAACCAACTAAACCCCCCCCCCTCCCCGCCCCCTTCCTCCAATATAATAAAAAAATATATCTATTGTGTTCGGAATTTTAAAAGTTTAACTTATACAGAAAATATACTTCAAATAAAAAATGAATGTAAGAATGAAAAAAAATAAGCCAAACCTGTCGTTTTTCTTGACACGCTAGCATCTCAGCGGAGAATTTCTGAAAAAAATATTTAAGATTAATTAAAATATTCAAAAACTTGACTCAATACAATAAAATACAATAATGTAAAGAAAAATGTTCTTTCAGAACAATTTTGTTTTAAAATTCTCCAAATTTACATATTTTTGCAATTCCTGAATTTGAGTTGCTTGAAGGTAATTTGAAAAGGAAATGTGAAGTTGTCAAATGTCAAGTTTGACAGAAATATGTTCAAGGGAGAAATTTGACAAACTAAGTTTAAACCAAAATTTAATCAAAACAAGAACACCCAGAAAATGCTCTCGCATGAGAAGTACAATATCAACACAATATTTGTTAACACTTGTTCTCTTGTTAAAGGGACCGTAAGCGTGATTTACATCGGTACCCTTTTTAAAAGCTTTGTCTGATCAAGTGTTAATTAGATATTAAAATTTTGATAATCTTAGATTTTGATTGCTCCAGAAGTGACTTTACGCATTTCTACCACAGGAAAACATAAAAGGATTAAAAAATTTTTAAACCTAGGAAAACTACCATATCTTCCATATTAGTAATCAGATAAAGGTTTTAAGGGTACCGTTGTAAATCGAGCATTGCCGTCTTTCCATAGATGATTAATTAAAATAACCCTTTCTGTCCCTTAGTCGATTACTAGAAGCTCAGCCCGCCACTGCTGTTTTCATAAAAGTTTAGAAGCAAGCCCTTTTGCTTTTTATATAAATATTAAGCCTTTAAATTTTTCAAATTTCGCCCCCCCCCCCCCATTCAAAAATCAAATCCCTGCTAACACAAATAAAACAAAAGCCATGATTACGGATTAGAATTGCATTTTATCCCTAAATGTGTATTTGCGAATGCAATATTCTTTTTTCCAAGAGCAATGATTAACCATTTCTCTTGGACAGTCCTAATCTTATATTAGAAATATGCTGACAATAAATATTCTTCATGATTGGTCCTTCTATTAGGGGTGTAAGCGCTTAGCCAGGGGTAGGGGTATCAAAAATAAAAATGATATTTCGAAAAAAATATCTTTAGAAAACTTTTAAAAAAACGGGTTGAGATAAGAAATTCTCCCCGGCCCCCTTTCTCTGACAAGTCACAGTAAAATATGGTTTAGGGATAGGTTTAGAAAACATGGTTTGGTGATAGGTTTAGAAAATATGGTTTGGTGATAGGTTTAGAAAATATGGTTTGGTGATAGGTTTAGAAAATATGGGTTGGTGATAGGTTTAGAAAAAATGGTTTGGTGATAGGTTTAGAAAATATGGGTTGGTGATAGGTTTATAAAATATGGTTTGGTGATAGGTTTAGAAAATATGGGTTGGTGATGGGTTTAGAAAATGCCAAAATTACAAAATCCCCCGAAACCATTAAATCCAAGTAATCATCCATTTCCCTTACTTACAAAAACAAGGAACAATTAAATACAAAAAATTATTTTTGGAATAAACATGGAAAAAAATATAAAGATATATTTTTGCAGCCTGCATATCAAAACCAACAAACAGCTAATCTCTCAAATTTTCTTGCTTCTTTTTTAAAATCAATAAAAAAAATGTAATATGACCGTCGCGTAGACCCTTCACAATAATACAAACATATATATTTAGAAACGTTGTTTTGTTTTTAAGCATAACTTGTTTTTTCATTTGTCCTAGAAAATTAAACCAAAAATTGCATAAAAACATTATATTAAGGAGTTCAATCTATAAACTAAACTTTTAAAGAAATGAATAATAATAACTTAAAATTAGTTGAATTTATAATAAATAAATTTTATTTCTTCTATGAGTATAGATCAGTCAGGCTCTTAACCTCTCAGACTGAGTGTTAGTACTAGAAGACTGTATATGTCGAACTACGAAACCATTTCAGAATAACGAACATTTAGTCCAGAATTCTGACGATAATGTCAGGGTCCTCAGGGATATCTCACAACTGTTTATTTTTCTATAATTTTGTTCACAATTCGACAAAACTGATGCTATTTCGATACTTTCGATTATTTCGAAATTACAAAATGTTCATATAAGCAATCTCTAACATTCTGTTCGGGTTTCTTCTTTCAGAGTAGTTGCCTTGTAAAAGTTCTTTATCGTAATTGCATGCAGTTTGCTTCTATCTACACCAAAAAGTTTTCATTTGCAAAGTGTTTAACTATATAGTGAATAGTGAATCCTATAGTGTATTTAGTATGTTTAAAGATTAAGTAGTAAGTATACATTGTATAAAAGAAAAATTAATGGGGAAAAAATTTAAAATAAATTAAATCTTTTACAAAAAAGACGATTTTAAGGTATTACTTTTCTAGGCAAAAAAGGATAAATACCAAAATAGGATTCTTTACACAACGTTACATTTGTGAAAGTTTATTCTAAAACTTGTTTAAAATTAGGGAAAATAAATCAAGTGCGCTCGTTGATTTTAAAACCTTAAACCGAATAAAAATTTGAAATCAATTCTGCATTACTGCATTAATGTATAGTCAAACGGGAAAAAATACAAATATCCATAAATACTTCTTCAAGATTTCCTAAATTCCTTTATAACCCAAAAAAAAACTCAAAAACTTTTCCCTTTTTTCATTTTATTTTAGGTCGAAACTTATTTAAACGGTCGGGTGGAGTTTTTTTTAATTTTCGCATCAGTTGACCTTCTTTTTTGTATATTTTTAAGCCACTTGGATCCAGATCAAAGAAACTGAAATGTCGCGGATCCATTTTGATCCGCTAGGGATTCTTCAACGTTTTTTAACAACTGTGCAACTGATACTATATTCACTAAATCTAAACCACTTTGCATACAACATGATTTTCCCAATATTAAGCTTTCCTTCTCTCCTCTTATGTACTGAACACATGCATTATGTGCTGAACTGCACATTAAGCTTTTTTAATCAATTTTCAATTGTAAACAAAAAGCAATCCTCCAAAAGACAGTGACAGAACTAAGTAAAGCGTTAGCAACAAACAGGCATTTTTAAAAACCTCAATTTTTCTTGAACACATTTAAAAAGTTGAAATTAATTTACCCTGATTCTCCGTATACCGTCCTAAACATATTATCCATGTATTGAATAAAAAAGATGAAAAATAACAAAACTAAAAACGAGAAAAAAACTTACCCTTATTGGCATTCTAATCTTTAATATTTCAGCATATCTCTTCAATAGTTCCATGGGTGCATGAATCTTTATAAAACTCAATGCACAGCCTACAAATAAAAATATGTTAAATAAGGTTTAAGAAATAAAAATTCTATTCCTTGATAAGAATAATTAGAACTTGTAATAAACTCGAAAATATTTAAGCTTTAAGAAGAATATATAGAACTAGCTGAAGGGTTTGGCGATGCCCGTGAAAAAAAGGTTATTTTAAATAGATTTTTAGAACTTTTTAAATTAGATATTGAGACACACCGTTTTAGAGTTAAGCGGTTAGGTCACGAACAAAATATCTGGCAGAGTAAAAGAGGAATATATACTTAATGATATTAATAGATGTATGAAATACATTATTCAGAGTATTCAAAAGAAATTAACGAGAAAATAAGAATTTATTTTGAAATATTAATCAACAACAGAAAAAAAGTATAATCTTGAAATATTAAAAAGGGGGAAGAACAAATGAAAAAAAAGAGAAAGCGCGGAAGAAAAGTTTTCTCCTTTAAATATTTAATTAGAAAAGAATAAAAGTATAAAATATGATTTTCTCTTATTATTTATTAAAAGAGAGAAGAGCGATATATGAGAATTCTCAAACTACTATCTAAGAAGTTAGGATTTTCAAAAAATCTATTTGATATAATTGTATCAATATTATTTTACAAGATCGTTTATTAGTTTCCAAGTAAAGAGTTCCCGACTGTTTTATAAAACCATGAATCATAAATCCACACTTTGCAGTTTAAACATGTTTTAGCAATGACTGTATCTAAACAGTTTAACCAACTAGTATTGTAGAATGATTCATTTAAGGAGGAGGATTCTCGTAAAATGAAACCCCGGGGGATAGGTTTAGAAGAATATTTTGGTGAAAAACCATTTTCCAAATCTAAAATTCCAATTTATGTCTGATATTTAACAGATCAGATACACCGGAAATATTGATACCGATTTAATACTTTAATAAAAAGGTATTAACCTTTCCCCTCTTTATGCGAACACTCCCTTTAAGTTTAGTCTACATAACTATTAGTCATACTCTTTCTTCCAATATACAATGTTAAAACCTAAACGCTAAATATGGTGAACACGAAACAAACATTGGAAATGAATAATTCACTTACAAATAAACTTTCATTTTGTTCCTTTCAAGTTCAACTTTAAAAAAGAGCAGTAATTATCCTTTCAAATAACCCCCATTTAAAGAGACTGTAAGCGTAATTTCAAGTGAGCTAAGGCATTCACAAGCTGTATTTCTAATTCACAACTGTATTATGTTCAACCGTGTTCTGACTTCGGCTCTATTGCATAAATCCTAAAGTTCCTTTTGTAGAAAATTCAAGAATATATCATCATTTCTGCTTAGAGGAAGGTTTAATAAAGTACCGTTGTGAATCAGGCAACACCCACCTTTAAATGGAGATTCACTTTGAATTGATTCAACAATCTCTTTAAGCTAGAAAGTGTCGAAATGGTTAAATCTCTAAAAAAATATAACTGTCAAAGAAAGAGAAATGCAAATATCTTGAAATAACAAGGTCATGCACTTCTTTTAACCCATTCGTCACTCGTCTTTTGAATTCTTCAACCACAAGACTAGGAGTGCGAAGCATCCTAAATTTAGCAATAATTACCTCCTGAATCCTCAATCTCTAGCTCTAGTCCCTCCTGTCAAAATATTCATTTATAGAATATTTTAAAAAAAAGATAAAACGAAATTTTATTTGACTTTGAATATTTCAAGAAAAAAATAGATTTAAATTTATATCAAAAAGGGAAAACCGCAAAAAAATACAAAGACTGACAACAGTTTTTCTTGTTTAAGATTTTCTTGTTTCCGGTTTTAGAGATAGAGGAACCCAAGCAGATAATGAGAGAAATAACCTATTAAGTGCTCTTGAAGATAAAGAGGGGAAATTCTGAACATTCATATGAAAACGTACAATTAAGAGGGGAAATTCTGAGCATTCATATGAAAACGTACAATTAAGAGGGGAAATTCTGAACATTCATATGAAAACGTACAATTAAGCTTTTAAAGGGAACATTCACATACTTTAAACTGTAAATCATTTTCCAATTTAGAACAATTTAGAATTATTTTTTTGCTTCACCAAAAAAATTATCATTTAAAGTTTTGATCGTTCCTGGCCTCAAGAACATCTTTTAGGAGTAAGAAAAATTTAGTGTGCTCCTAAAAATGAGTCCTATAAGTATTTTGAAAAAGATATTTTCCTTGAGCAAGTTTTCTGTAAATACAAATCTTTTGAGAGATTTTGAGGTTGCTTCCATGTCCTCCGGTTTTGGACTCTCGTAAGCTGAACAAATTATACTTCTTATTATTAATACTTATTCAGTAGTTTAAGTTACTATTCAATAAACATAGGTTAAACTATAAAATACGTATTCTGAATAAAAAATCGATATTTAAAAGAAACAATCCAAAACTAACTAGAGAAAAAAACTTAATAACTATTTCGAAACATACTGAAAGCCATTCTAAATCAAACAAACAGTATTCTTTGACAATCAACACAGTAAAAATAAATCGAGTAAAGAACCGGAGAGTTACCTAGAATAAAATCGACTCTTTTCTGTTGGTCCTGAGTAAAGTAAAGACTAGATATCAGATCATCGTTCAACCCAACCTCTTCCTCATCCACCGTCTCCTCTGTGTTTAATCCCATCCTTAATCTTTGTTCAACATCTGTAAATATTCTAGTTAAGCGCATTATGGGTGGCGTTTCTTTAATTTTTTATTTAAACAACAATTATTTTTAATTGCGGTTTCTCTACCTTAGTAACAATGGAGGAAATTGTAAAGAATTAAACCCTTTATAAGGTAGAAAAACGACGCTATCTTCATCATTGCTCAGATAAAGGGTTAAATGCTGTCGTATTGATTCAGGCATGCCACTTCTAAATATCTGGCCAATATAAGTTACAATAGTTATTATAAATGTGTTAACATAAATTCGAAATATAAGGAAGACGATTGTACCGACTCAAATGCCTCTGTTAATTCTCTAGATGTGTGTGTACACAGGATCCATTTCCGCAATGAAGCACACCACACATGTAACCTTCGCTCCTCACCTCTCTACACCTCCCGGTATTCAGTCAGCTATAAACACTCAAGACATTCACAACTCCGTCTCAACCCTGGCTCCTTCATGATGATGATTCAGATACAGAACTAACAGCAGAAGACACTGCTTACACCTCCGCGCTCCACAATGTTCCAGAGTTCAGGGCGAAACCAGAGTTCCTTCCATTATCCTGCATGCACGATAAGTCCGCAATCTCTCTCCTTTAGACTAAGCCTAGTTGTGAGTAAGCCTGCCGTCAAGATTGATGATCTGCACCACCATCATGAAGTTCTACAAACACCTTCCAACTGATATTCGTCTATAGTTTCTTTATTAATTTCTAAACCAACCAATTTTAACCCCACTTGGGAAACTATTTTATAACCTATTGTTTTAATAAATAAAGATTAGAAATACCTTTAGATCTCTTTTATTTTATCGTATTGACTTTTTTAAAGTCAACAAAATGAGTAACGGATTCCATGGATTTGGTAAATTCCAAGATACGGAACCTGAGTTCGGTTTTTCCGCAATACAGTTTCTGAACCCGGTTCATTTTCGGATTCGTTCTTCAGAAACACTTCAAGTGATTCTTAATTTAAAGAGTTGCATGTACAATTTATATCGGTACCCTTAACCCTTCATCTGATAAATAATTTTCTGAGGAAAATGGGTGTTTTCTTTAGATCATCTATTTTAAAGATTTATGACAAACCCAATTTTTTTTATCAAAAAATATATAAATTATAAATAAAACTTTAATCTTCATGACAGAACCAATCTCAAGACCTGACGAGTGACGAAGGTCAACCTAGACCGAAATATATTTTCAATAAAATGTGAAACTAACACCTCCTTTTTACTATACAGAGGTTTGGTCCATCACCATCACCGCAATTTTATGTTTAAAACAATATTCGTTGTGTAGTTTTTACAAAAAGAAAGCCCAGTCAAAAAGTGAATTAAAAAAGAAAGCGAATAATGTTGACCGCTCTCTTGTGTGTATTCCTAATCCTACGTCATGAAGTTTTGTAACTTGTCCTGCGTGAGTAAAGTATTAGTTTGCCCCCCCCCCCCCCTTACATGAAAACACAAAATTTGTATTTTAATTGTCTTTCTCTGGTCAAAAATTATAATTTTTCAAAGTACACAAAAACAATGGTTGAGGTAAGGCGGACTTTAGAACATTTCTTTGATGAAAAAATGTCTGATTTTGTTTACAATAAAATTAAGCATCTTATTATTTGCAATACAAAAAATGAATCAACAATTTTTCTTATTCTAATAAAAAAATCATATTGACTTTACGAATAGGGTTTCATGTATAGGTTTCATACTTTTTTCCGGATTTTTTTATTGTAAAATAACAGTCTTTTAGACTCCCCTGTTTAATGTTTGTGCAAAATAGAGTTGCGAACCAGTTAGTCACGAAAGAGCTTGAAATAATATTAATTGTTACAGCGACTACAAATTCTTAAGAATTATTTTTTATCGAACTTCTATTGAATAGAAAGAAACAGCATGAATAAAAAAAATAAAACTTTGGTAGCACAAAATTTCTCCCCCTATCAGTACGGAGGTATACAAATTATTGAATTATATAAGGTTGTGTGGCGCCCCTGGATTCCCGGAATGCAGTACACAGCATATTCCATACTTCACATGTATTCATTTGGTCTTATTCATTTGGTCTTATTTCTTTTGTCGCTACAGTTGAGTTAAAGGCTCTGTTTATATTTAACTTTTACTTCTAAGAATCTCCTCATAAAATAATGATTTCACAAACCCGTCCTTTCTACCAGCATCGTTGTTTTTAGCTTCCCATTTTCCCTTTTCCCCCTTCCCCCTTCCCTTTCCTCCTTTTTCTTTACCCTGTCGCCCTTTTAAGCTTCCCTTTTCCCCTTTCCCCCTTTCCCTTTCCTCCTTTTTCTTTTTTAATGTCCCCCTTTATAGCTTCCCTTTTTCCCCTTTTTCCCTTTTCCCCCTTCCCTTTCCTCCTTTTTCTTTTTTCCTGTCCCCCTTTTTAGCTTCCCTTTTCCCCTTTTTCCCTTTTCCCCCTTCCCTTTCCTCCTTTTTCTTTTTCCTGTCCCCCTTTTTAGCTTCCTTTTTTCCCTTTTTACCCTTTTCCCCCTTCCCTTTCCTCCTTTTTCTTTTTCCTGTCCCCCTTTTTAGCTTCCCTTTTTCCCTTTTTCCCTTTTCCCCCTTTCCTTTCCTCCTTTTTCTTTTTCCTGTCCCCCTTTTCAGCTTCCCTTTTCCCCCTTCCCTTTCCTCCTTTTTCTTTTACCCTGTCGCCCTTTTAAGCTTCCCTTTTCCCCTTTCCCCTTTTCCCTTTCCTCCTTTTTCTTTTTTAATGTCCCCCTTTTTAGCTTCCCTTTTTCCACTTTTTCCCTTTCCTCCTTTTTATTTTTTCCTGTCCCCCTTTTTAGCTTCCCTTTTCCCCTTTTTCCCTTTTCCCTCTTCCCTTTCCTCCTTTTTCTTTTTCCTGTCCCCCTTTTTAGCTTCCTTTTTTCCCTTTTTTCCCTTTTCCCCCTTTCCTTTCCTCCTTTTTCTTTTACCCTGTCCCCCTTTTTAGCTTCCCTTTTTCCCTTTTTCCCTTTTCCCCCTTACCACCTTCCCTTTCCTAATTATTTATTTTTTTGTTAATTTTCCCCCTTATTAAAGTTCAACAAGCATGTACACAATCCTTTCCCCTTTTTTAGTGCTACACAAATATTTTGAAAATGTATTATGTGAGAGGAATTTAGTAAAGCTCCCCTGCCGTGAAAGACCTCCATGGTTCAATATATTCCTATTTGGAATCATTTTATGCCCCAACTGAGAATTATCAATATACAAAAGGGATATTGTTTAATACATAATATAATATTTACCATTTTTTAATGATTTCTGCGTTACAAAAGAGAAATAATTTGCTATAAAAATTTATATTATATTTTACAATCTTTTGCATAAACTATATATCTATTTCCATTAATTGATATATTAGTTTTAAATGTCTTTTTAAATGTATTTCCATGTCCATCATGATTCCATCTAACAGTTCAAGTTAAATCCCTAATCATAACACTTTACAGTATGCAAGTAGCGGGTCCGTCATAGTAAACAATTTTTGGACCCCCCCCCGGCCCCCCNATTGAGTCCATATGTCGAGAAGATTGGAAAATTATTGCTAATTTACAAGTAATATTTATATTTGATAACGTTTTTTTCAAAAAACCTCCTCCACGGGGTTCGGAGACTCTCCACGGGGTTCGGAGACCATTCCACAGGGTTCGGAGATTTTCCACGGGGTTCATGGCTTCTTGGCCTTCCCAGCTTGCTGTTTTTAGGGTTAGGTTAGGTTAAGACACATGGGCAATTATTATATCCATATCTAACATAAATAAGATCCATGTACAAAATTGATAGGAGAGGGGGGCCTGGGGGGGTCCAAAAATCGTATACTAGGAAATTACCCACGTATAGTTATGTTTTCACTTTTGACATTAATTATGTCGTATGTATATTTATAACCTCATCATTAATAAAGATGTCAATGTGGTATGAAAATTGTCTTTTTTAAGCACAAACAAATAAAAGGATTGTAAAAATGTGTACGCAACTGTACTCACTGTACAACACAACCGGTCTTCCCTTCTCTCAACTAACTGTAGCAGACTAAACTGAGCTGAGCTGAGAATGAGATCAGCTGGTTTGTATACTCTCTATAGCGGGCTATCCGCCAACTTTAAACTCTATCCTCGGGTCCCAACCCTACACGCCCTTCCACTTCAACCTCCCCCGCCCCCCGGTCAGAGTTCACAGAGTACACATATATTATCATTCGGAACTTCGGTTTACGAAAGTTTACGCAGCGAATTCATTATCACTGTGTGATTTCATAAAACCCTATCTTACGAATCTTACACATTAAATGTCAACTCAATTTTAATACAGAAGAGAGATCTGAACTTTTGAATTATATGTTTAATCTCGCGGGATCAAGAACTGCAATCTTCAACTTTTGCAGATCAACGGATTAATTTATTTAATCGGTGAATTATAATAAAGAGTGCTTAAAAATCACGGTTTGGAACTTTCTTCCCCTGGAATCAGGCCCGTAGCTGGGGGGGGCACTAGGGCACGTGCCCCCCTTGCACAACCGAAGGGGGGCACACTTTCCGAGACAAAAAAGATGAAATAAAAAAAATAAAAAGAAGAAAACGAAAAAAAGAGAGAAGGAAAAAAGGGGAGAAAATTGGTCCAAAATCTAATTTTTGTTTCCAACATTAGATTTCAAATTAAAGAAAAATTTAGTGCTTTCTGAAATAATTTTTTTTGCATTTTGAGAGACTTATTCTTTTCCCTTTTATAATTTTATAGATTCATGATTGATTCTAATGAACATCGTACAGCAAATACTAAAAACTTAAAAAGTAACAATTGGAGACAAATTAAAATTCTGCAAAATTTGGCCAGGATAAGGAGAAACTGTTTCGTTTGTACTCATTCTCAAGATTGAAGGGGAGTTTTTTCGAATTTTAGTTTTGTGAAAACTGAAAAATTTCAAGCTTGAGCTTTTATGATCTTTATACAGGAATTTACGTCATTTACTTTCCTTGAATTAAGAATTAAAGACTAAAAAATATTGGCTATTCGTGATTCAAAATTTCTCAGTATTACATTTATAGTTTAACTCAAAGCCCTACATCTTAAAACTCCATTGTATTTTGTTTTGATGCAAATACCTTCTCGATTATTCTTTAGAAATGAAGGGATCGTATACAGGCAAAATAATTATCTTAATAAACTATAATGTGTGACAAGTTAAAAATCTAGTGTTTTAGTCTATATTCATTATAATTTTACCCTCATTAATTTTTGGTCAAAAAAATGTTTCGCCGGCGGCGCGCCCCCAATTCATCTATCTATCCTTTTTTACTTTTCTGCCCCCCCTTTAGAAACTCCTAGATACGGGCCACCTGGAAAAGGTCTGAATATCCTGGTTTAAAATAGAAAGAATTATATCCCGGTTAAGAACATGTTAACTAAATTGTTGTTGTTTGATGTTTATTCAATTCTCAGAACATATATTCTGAGATTCAAATGAAGAACAAATCTGATTACATAAATTTGGTTATCCAGAATAGGAACACATTTGAGTATCCAGAACAGGAATAGATTTGATTATCCAGAATAGGAACAGATTTGATTATCCAGAATAAGAACATATGATTATCCAGAATAGGAACAGATTTGATTATCCAGAATAGGAACAGATTTGATTATCCAGAATAGGAACAAATTTGATTATCCAGAATAGGAATAGACAGAATAGGAACAGATTTGATTATCCAGAATAGGAACAAATTTGATTATCCAGAAGTGGAACATATTTGATTATCCAGAATAGAAACATATTCGATTATCCAGAATAGGAACAGATTTGAGTATCCAGAATAGGAACAGATTTGATTATCCAGAATAGGAACATATTTGATCATCCAAAATAGGAACATATTTGATTATCCAGAATAGGAACAGATTTAATTATCCAGAATATGAACATGTTTGATCATTCAGAATAGGAACATATTTGATTATCCAGAATAGGAACAGATTTGGGTATTCAGAATAGGAACAGATTTGATCATCCAGAATTGGAACATATTTGATTATTTAGGAACAAATTTGATTATCCAGAAGTGGAACATATTTGATTATCCAGAATAGAAACAGATTTGATTATATCAAGAAGAGGAACATATTTGATTATCCATAATAGGAACAGATTTGATTATCCCGAATAGGAACATATTTGATTATCCAGAATAGGAACAGATTTAACTATCCAGATTAGGAACAGATTTGGGTATCCAGAATAGGAACATATTTGATTATCCAGAATAGGAACATATTTGACTATCCAAAATAGAAACAGAATTGAGTATCCAGAATGGGAACCGCTTTGATCCAGAATAGAAACAGATTTGATTATCCAGAATAGGAACAGATTTGATTATCCAGATCATTTTTTATCATCCAACATGACAAATTCTTTGATTATCCCTGCAGGTTTAGAGCATGTAAAAATATAAGTAAAGAATAGATTTTAATTTCCAGTTCATTGAATATACAAGTTAAGAACAGATTTGGATGATATACATATGATGGAAGTTTTAATGCCTGAGAAAAAAATGGACAGCTAGCTTTAATGTCGTCTTGGTTAAAAAATCACAGAGGAACGGATTGATTAGAGACTGGAATATGATTTACCTGTGGAATAATTATCACAGGGTAACCTTTAACGTATAAGACTTTGAAGAAAATTTGGTAAATGAATAAGGACGTTTAAAGCTGGAAGGAGCCATAAGCAAAATAGATAATTAGATCATCTTTTGTGAAAAACCCTGTAGGTTATAGGAGAACGTTTTATCCAAGCCCTTCTTTAAATATCAAGGAGAAATGAATAAGGTTTAGAATGAAACTTTTTTTTGGTGAACTCTGATGAGACTTCAGAGACACAACGAAATTTTAGCTTTTAACCTGTAGCTTTAAAATAATTAAATAAATAATTTAAAAGGCATATTAAAGATCTTATTCATGACCCAATTTAACTTTCAGATCTTTAAAAATTTCAGATCGTCTTTTCAGATCGTCTTTTCAGATCGTCTTTTTAGTCTCATCCTTTGTGGGTAGAATTAGAATCACTATTTAAATTGTTACCTCCTCACAATACCCAAATATCTGAACAATCTCTTTAACTTCTATTTTTAATAGAACTTTTTTCAGTTTTTAACCAATCTTTAAGGAAAATACAAATACTAATGAAATGTGTTGTCTGCATTATCAATGCGGTATAAAGTCATGTTTAGGATTATAGTCTTTCTGATGTAAAATCTATTTTAAGCTTTATTCATACCATATTTTAAATTATGAGCATTCTTAATTATTCATAGCATTATTAATATTTATAGTTATTGATTAAACATTGAAAAGCCTTTCACTTTTTCTTAGCTAATAAAACATATAGGTTGAAAACTAAATCAAACGATCAGAATAAATGCATTTAATATTTTAAATTACAGAATTTTAACATAGTTTCTGTAAGTGGAGTATATATGAAAATAGTTTCTGCATTATCAAAGTTTTCATTTTATATTCCTCCCATATTACATTGATAAAGGAAATGAAAGAAAATATCTATTTTCGTATCAAACTGAGAAAAAGATGATCCTGCCACTGAATTTTCAGTTAGGTAAATACAGATATCGTAGTCGTCGATAATCAGATAAAGATTTCTCTTTATTCTCAAATTAAATCAAAACTTCATTCTGAAAACCTTAAATTTTATTTCACGACAAGAATTTTAATTTTTGGGAAAATATTAACTTTCCCAAATTTATTTCTATAAATAGGTATTGAATGCAAAAGAATGCAAAATCAGGGAGCCGGACTGTAAACAGTGTATTGTATTAAAGTGTCGTCAAGACATTAACTTTCCCAGGGTAGACCTCCCCCCCCCACACACATACACTCAGTTTAATAGAAGGATTCGAACTAAACCTATACCGCTTGAAATAAGAAATCATGACTGAATAATGACGCTTACCCCCCCCCCATACTCAGTTTAATAGAAGGATTCGAACTAAACCTATACCGCTTGAAATAAGAAATCAAAACTTGAAAATGAATCTTCCCCCCCCCCCCCATACTCAGTTTAATAGAAGGATTCGAACTAAACCTATACCGCTTGAAATAAGAAATAATAGAAGGATTCCAACTAAACCTATACCGCTTGAAATAAGAAATCATGACTGAATAATGACGCTTTGATAAAAATTATTATCAAATATCAACACTTTACAAAAACTTCTATACCAAGGGATTATTTATTCAGTTTAGAATATCGGGGGGGGGGCGGGGGTAAATGTTGCCCCCGAACTCTGATACAGGTTCTAGAGAGGGGCCAAATTTTTTAAACATGGGATTCCCAAACAGTTCTTCATGGTTGTATTGTATTTTAAATGATCATTGATCTAATAAAAATATACATAAAGAACAAGCTTTTCTTTCCTACATGATTATTGAATATTCACTCTATCCCATTAATGCAGAATCTGTAAAAATGTCCAATTACCACTTTCCTTTAAAGATACATCTTGTATAACTAAACTTTTGATTTCTTATATCCAAGTTCAATCAATTTCCAAGACTTCTGTCGACTTGGAAGTGTCGCATTCGCACCGACTTGGCTTTGATCTCAGTGTTACATAGCCCTAGACTTGAATATTTTAGAACTAAACTAAACCACAAAGCCTTGTTTTTAGCTTTAGTTTTAAAGAAGTAATCGGCAAAATACTAATAGATTTTTGTGTGAATTGTAGTAAATTATAAAAATACGATAAATTGTTCAAATAGGCAGATTTATTTGCTCTTTTTTTATAAATACTGATAAACTTTAAACATTTTGAAGTTTTTAACTGTTGAATCTCTAAAAGTGGCCAAAGACTGGATATTTACACAAGATATAAAAGTGAATATTATAGATCACAACATAAAATATTTCTAGAATTAATAAAAATGGGATAAACCAAGAATAATGCAATGGGCTGCTGTGCTTCAGCTAGTAATCAGGTATATATGTGCACTTTTCTACAAAGTCGGCATTTATATCAATACAATGAAGACGACCTTTTAATTAAAGTTTTGATTTTAACAAGCTTTTTTTAAATTATAAGTTAACATGAAAACAAAGGGAAGTTGTTAATTGAGAGCTTCTCTTTGTTTCCATGTTTATGTGCAAGTTTGAAAGCATAATGGATAAATCAAAATTTAAATCGAAAGTCGTCTTCATTGTATTGATTAACATATTCGACGACTACTACAGTAATCTGATCATTGGTCGGTTCAGATCCAAAAATTGGATTTTCAATCCGGCTTCTATTCTTACTATTCTTTCTATAAATTCAAATTGTTAAGCCTCCTGATGAACAGGACTGAATACGAGTTTTTACATCAAAACCCATCAAGAAGAAAATTTTGAAAATATTTTTTTGATTTAAATTTTCTTTCTTCATCAAACAAATTCCTTGGTTTAATTAAGATTTTATTTTCCCAAAAAGTTTCTATAATGACAGGGAAATTATAGTTATTCATTTTAAAAGAGATTTTAAAACACGTCAATTTTATTGTTTTCTTGTTGTAAATATAAAACACTAGACTTTTATGGCGCTTCGCGCCCATCTTCTATTTACATTGTGAAGATGTTCTTTTTGTTTACATTTTAAAACAAAGAAGAAAAATTTTTTGCTGATTTTAAAAAAAAAATCTCGGATTTTCAGGAATTTAAATTTTTTACAAAATCAAAATCCTAACACACTTTTTTTATCATTCATGAACCTTCCCTATGGTCACGTGATGTCCCACAAAAAATGTGGTCCCGATCGGTTCAGCCGTTTTGACGTTTATTGGATACAAACAAACAGACAAACAGACAGACAAGCCAAATTTATATATAGATTGCAGTAAGCCATTAAAGAATTTAAACCGTGTCGCTGAACCGCAAAAAACCGGTTCCAATAGAGCGCCCCGGCTCATGTCACTAAATACAATTTCAAGTGGTACAAACCATGTTTGAGCCCCGTCTCAAATTTGAGTCACGGATCAAATTCTTTAAGTACCCATCTTTAAAAATCCTTAAACCAACTGTGGATTTCAAAGTATAAGATTGCCTTTGTATGTAGTAAGATGAAAAATAAAATAAAAACTGAAATTTGAAAATTAAACAATTCATTTTAAAACCATTAAAATAAAACAAAAATGTTTAGGTCACTCCACACGATACTCCAGTTAAACATAAAAAATATGGGTTCGAGGTAAAAGTATGAAAGTAATTAATGATTATTTTTTAATTTCAAAGGGAATGTCAACAAATTTTAAAGTGACCCTTAAAGGGACTGTCAGCGTAATTTCAAGGGACCCTCCATGCAATACCCGATTTACAACGGTACCCTTAAAATCTTTGTCTGATCAAGTATGAGTTGTATGGATATCAATATTATAATTTTGAAATTAATTATTTTTAATTTTAAGTTCTCTGGAAAAGTGACTTGTGTGGCGGATATGAATGTCGTCATCTGAGTTGTTTCCAGAGAAATCCAAGGGGGCGGATTCGATCAGCTGATTCTAACTTGTGATATTTATTCCAGATATTTCTTTCATCATTTACTATATAGATTTAGATTTTTAATAAAGTTAATCGTTCAGAACTCTTTTTCCTGTTCAGTAGTAGCGCGCCAAACTTGTGCATTTCACTGCAGAAAATCCTCAGATTTTAAAACCTAGAAAAACTACAATATCTTCCACATTATTGATATGATAAAGTTCCTTAGAATTACGCTTACAGTCCCTTTAAGAGATTTTTAAATTGTAATGTATTGTTAGGAGAAGGAGATTGTATTAAGTAGACAAGATACCTCCTCCACAATACTGATCAATGATACCAAATCTAAGGGAAATAAACCAAACAAAATACCAGACAAATCTTCAAAACCATCAGAACCCGTCAAACCGTATGTCCCAATCAAACGTAAGTTTTAACTTTTAAATTAAACATTTCTTTATATATTTGGCTCAGAAATAATTTCTTTATAGGAGGGGCCNACAATGCTGCTCATGTGGTCATGTCTGATTTGGAGGCAGTCGAATTTAACTACTTGAGTGTTTAAATGTACAATAAAGAATATGTGTTAATACATGAGAGTGTATCCATAGCTAAAATTTCGGATTTTTGAAAGAAAAAAATCAAAAGATTATTTAACACAATTGTAAGGGTTAATTAAAAATTTGCCAGGAAAAGAATTTAGAGTTGTCAGGGTATTCTTTACGTATATATTGAGCAAGTAAAATGCTTAAAGATAATCTAATGATATGGGACGCTTTTTATTCGAATTTCTAATATCATATTGTTTCAGCTAAACCACCTCCACCGAAGAAAGAACTTGAGATAATATCCAACTCTATACTTGACGGTCATATCCAGTATGTAGATTTAGCAAGCTGGGCTCCAGCTGCAGATACTGTCTTTACGGCAAGCCGTGACCGGCGCGCTATCCTGTGGGACGTGAGTGTGCCGGCTGCCGTAGAGAAGGTTGAACTGGAGGGAACGGATCTGGAGTATCCAGTATCTTGTGTGGGATGGAGTGATGACGGAGAAATGATCGGATTGGGTTAGTCCCGTGTTATTTTAATAAAAACACCTCAGCTGGAAGTGTAAAGTTTGGTTCTGGCTCAAAACTGCAATTTTGAATTTAACAGTTCTACAAACGAACAGAGTTTTTTTTCACAAACTCTAATTTTTTAATCCCTGTATCTTTGTAACCCGATATCGTTTTAAAATTAGTTATGCTGGTCAAATTGTCTAATTTTGAAATATGAAGTTTTCCACCATCCTGTTTAAAAAATATGATTATGTTGCATAAACCTATTTTTTGCGGTTTTCTGAATATTCAATCATGAATGAAGACGAAGTTAACAGAGTTTTGAATTTACTCCACGGTATTAAGGATCAATGTTTTTTTTTCATTAACTTCTAATTTACTTGTAATTAAGTAGTATTAGACTTACTTAAATTTATAAAGCTTATAAATATAAACAAATAATAAATAAATAAATAAATAAATTGTTTCAGGTCATGAGGATGGAAAAGTCAGCCTTTGGGAAAAGGTAATTACGTTAAACTAAATAAAACTGTTTCTGTGGTTACCACTTTGCACCCTTATACCGCCTTCAGAGGAAATTTCAAATCCAAATAAGACAAACTTAAAGATGTTCAAAGTTCTTTTTATTAGATACAACACTAAATTCCGATTAATTTAAAATTTTTCGTACGTGATTATTTTTTACCGGCCCGGCCAATAGTTACAATAGAACGAAACAATTTTTCATCAGATGAAAAAACCTTAAATTAAAGAAAGGCCTAAACAGAACCGAATTGCTTCGGAAAAAATTGGAATTCCTAATCATAGAGCAGATTTAATCCCAGTACGGTAGGATAGGGCCGGTACAAATTTATTAGAGCAGTCCCCATTCCTGACATTTCTAAATTGTAGTGACGTAACGTTATACTTTTACCGATAGATTGTCTCCTAGAATTGGTTTTACTAATAATCCCAAGCCAGGAATATTCAAAAATGTTTAAACTAAATCTATTTTATATGCAGTAGAATAGAGTGATTAATGAATTTATTATTTCATGCTGCGTCAATATTTTATATTTTGATAAATGTTTATGTTTAGACCGGGAACCATTTGTTTACGTGGTGGCCACACGAGGCTCCCGTCAACTGTGTTTTTGTCAGGTAAAGATAGTCCCATGTAACATTTAGATCTTTGAAATCATTTGCCGCATTCATTTGGCACCCTACTTTTTTACTTCATTTAATAAACCAAAATTGTCGAAATATAACAAAATTCTTAGATTCTGGTGATATACATATTTAAAGCACATGAAGGTATTTAAAATTGGCCTTTATGCAAAAATGATTTTTTTAAAGAGATAATTGTGCAAGAAAATGACCGATATTGAATTGTTGCTTTCTATGGTAAAAAACAAGGATTTCTGTGGCACTGATTATAAGATACATGTTCTAAAAAATATTGATTTGGAACGTTGTTTTTCATTTAAATTTTTTTTTTTTTTGATTTAAGATTCAACTTTTTAGGTGGGAGGAAACAGGTCCTACAGTTCTTTCAGCAGGAGACTGTGCAGCAGCCAGTAAATATATATTAGATGCAGAAGTACAGGAGGTATGTACAAAATACAGATTTAGTAAATATATACACTAGAAGGTATTTATGTACAATATACAATTAACTATTATACGGGATTCAGATGTATACCGGAGAACAGAAATAGTTAATATAAACATAAACTAGATTTAGACGTATGCACATTGGAAAATGTACAGATATATTAAATATGTATCATCGTTCGTACGGTGCAACGTTCAGGGTTCAAATGTACATATATTTGAGATCAATGAATGATTGAAATGTGCATAGTACAAAGTAAACATAAATTTTACGTTGATAAACAATATACATGTAAAAACACAGTTTATACATATTTCCATATCGAATATTTTAGTTGACCCAGCTGTACTTCAGTAACTCAGTAGACCTCAGCTGGGTTGAGTGGGTTGATCAAACTAAATTCTTAACTTCAGATGTGGCGGGAAATATTGGTAATTATCAACTTAATACCGAAGATGGTAGAGCAAGCCAATAATGATTTTAGCAAACCTTCACTTTAGTTGGCTTACTCTACCATTGTTCATAGAGTAAAGAAATTGAGTCTTTGCCACAACATCTGATTTTCCTATTTCTATAAATTTTGCAACCCAATGTAGATACTTCAAAATAAAAATATCAAAGGTTTACACTATTAGGTTACAAAGATATAGACATTATAAGAATTGAGTTTGTGGCAAAGACGTTAATTCCTTCTGTCGCGGCTTTACTAGAAGCAACTGTTGATTTTTAACAAAAATGGATGTTTTAGATTTGGATCGGCTCATACGATTACGTTAACAGTTCTTTTATAAACCTTTTGATTTTAATATATATACATATAGAATGTATTTACTCATACAGTGAGCAGACTGCACATATAATCTTGAATTTTACATAGTTCAAATAAGAAAAAAAAATAGATTGGGTTTAACTTATTTGTAGAAATTGCAATTTTCAAAACGTTATTTCTTCTAAACATTTTTTTTATTAGTTCTAAGTTTTATTTCAGTCTCTTTGCCCCACTAAACATCACATAATAAACCTCAGCCCTCAGCATGTTATAAATCTTATCCATTTTCCATTCAGAGCTTCATAATTTTGACCTTGAGAGATTACAGAAGAAGATTAAAGACGGTAAATACGAAGACAAGGAGAAGGCACACAGAACCTTCCCTGGACACTCAGCTGGGGTTTATCAGGTTAAAATGAAACCAGGTAAAAACAAGAATAAGGGGACGGGAAGGAGCTCGGAAAAAATATCATAAAAGTATATCTTTTGCGGATTTAAAAAAAAGACGTCTTATCGTATGGTAAAAGATGGCAAGGAACGGGAGGAAAGGAACGGTGGGAAGGGATTTTGGGAAGGGAAGGTGGGAAAGGACGTTGGGAAGTTAAGGTAGGAAGGAAGGCTGGAAAGGGGCTGTGGGAAGGTAGGTTTGGAAGGGAAGGTGAGAAGGATGGCTGGAAAGGGACGGTGGGAAGTGAGGTTGGGAAGGGAAGGTGGAAAGGGACAGTTGGAAAGGAAGGGTGGAAACTAAAAGGATATGGTTTAAAGATTGGAAGGTAAGATGATTAGGGAAGGTAGGATGAGAAGGGGAGAAGAGAAGGTGAAAAGGGAAGGTTGGAAGGAAGTTTGAAAGATGTGAAAGATGTGATGTGAAGAGAAGGTTAGAAGAAAGATCAAGAATATATTCTCCAGGTTCTAGTGGAACCTTTGCATCCTGCTCAGTTGATTGCTCCGTGAAAGTCTGGGATATCAGGTTAGTTTATAAATACATTTTTTCGACTTAACAATAACTGACTAAAAACTGACTTTAAACAGACTCAGTTTTAGGCGGAGGTCGCGATTTAAATCCTTCAGAAAAATAAGATCTCAAGATTTCCATTCAGACTAAAATAAAGGTCGGGCCTTGAGATGGATTGGAGTTCATTTTTATTTAAAATCTAAAAAAACTCATAATATCGTGTCTAACTTTAAATATTAGGTATTGACTTTTATTTCTCAAACTGACTTTAATGACTTTGAAAAAAACATGTGCTTAAAGGGATTGTTCGCTAAAATATTAAAGGGGGATATTTCATAATATTCTTTATTTTAGTTATGTATGATGAAATTTAAACGACGATTAGTTGACCGCCAGGTGTCTCTGCTCTCGATGTATCTGCTTGGATTCACGTGGCAGAGACACCAGGCTGACAAAAAATCTTCGTTTTTAGTTCATCGTATATAAAACAAATAGAAATATTATATGGTATCGACTATATACGAATGTGTCAAAAAAGGGTGATTATAGATTGTAATATCTGAATGATTTCTTTAGAATTAAATTGATTTGTTCACGATCTGATTCGAATATTGCAACTTTGGAAATTTGTATGGACGCTACGTTCTTCAGTATTATTCGTGTTTAACCATTTTCTCCTTATAGACGCAACAGATAGAAGTAAGATTTGTAGAAATCACTATCGAATATTTTTCGACGTAAGCCTATACCCCCTTTCATTTTTCGCGAACACTCCCTTTTAATGGATAGTATTGAGATTCAATTGAATCAGCCTAGAGTTGTAAAATTCATCTGAAGAGTGAAGACTAGTAGTTAAGAATTTTGACTAGTTCACAGACCACTTTTCTTAGTTTATTATATAAATTATTGTAATTTAATTAATTCGTGTTTCAGAAATAAAGAAGATCCTTTGGTGCACAGTTTAGAGGTTATTATTATTTTGTATTATTATTATTATTATGATGTTTTTAACCCTATCAAGCATTTTTAAAATTACGAGTTTAAAAGTAAGCAAAGAGATTCTGTTAATTGACAACACTTCTCTTTGCTTAAATGTTTAAGCGTTTCTGCTGTTTCAAAGCTTGGTAGAAATAGAAAGTCTTCCTTCTGTTGATAAATACGACTACAACTTTATCAGGATCATATTGGATATGTGACCTGCTTATGCTGGGTTCCCTCTTCTGATTTGCTTGTCTCTGCTGGATTCGATTATACTGTCAAAATATGGAACTCAAGAGCTGGTTTTCTCATTCATTCACTTGGTAATAATTCATTTTTATCTTAGATTTACTAAAGAGTTTCATGTCGAATTCACAACGGTATCTTAATCTGAACAAAAATTTTCATTATACATACCCATCACAATAATCTCACAAGAAGGGGATGATTAATGGTATACTGTACCTTTTTAGCCGTCTATAGTCTGTTTGTATACTGTACAACTTTCCCTAACTTCCTTAAAGAGATTGTAAAGGAAATAGAAGATTGTTGCTGAAAGATAATCACTTTAGCTCTTGATTGCGACCCAGGAAAGTTAAATCTGATGTTCCTGTCTCAAGAAATTGATATAAAACTGTGTCAAATTTATACGAAAATTCGTATATATATTCAATTTTGTATAGAATTAGTAGGTTTAAACAGATCATATTCAGCAATTTCGCAACCAATCTAAAAACGAAGATATCCACGAGAAACCTAACTGTAACTAAGGTTTTCTCCAATTAATATTTTATAATTTTTTTTTTTATATTTTAAAAGATATAATTGATGATATTATTTATAAGTCTTTATTATGTCACAAGAACTCCCGCCAATGAGAGTGCAGTATAGTGGTCACGTGTCTCTTTCTGTATCATGTGATGATGTGACTAGTATAATAAGGATCAGGATCAGATGCAGAAATATGGTTCTGTTGAAGCATCAGGCTTGGTTGAAGGGTCTGGTTTGGTTGGAGGATCAGGTTCAGTTAAAGGATCTGGTTTGGTTAAAGGGTTTGGATTTGTAGGAGGATCTGGTTTGATTGGAGTAATAGGTGCAGTTGGAGATCTGGTTCAGTAGACGGATCAGGTCCAGTTGAAGGATCTGGATTGGTAGGCTGAAGGAGGATCTTGTTAGGATTGGGTTGGATTGGAGGATCTGGTGTACTGGGGTCTTTTTCAATTGGAGTATTTGGTGTAGTTGAAGGATCTGGATCAGTTGCAGAATCCGGTTCTGTATGAGGATCCGGCTTAGTTGAAGGATCTGGTTTGGGTGAAGGATCTACAGTCAACGTGAGATCAACAAGTTTAAGGCCAGTAGGGGGATCCGGGATGAAGGTCCTGACAGGATTGATTTTTGCCCATGTGTTGAACTAGCCGCGGCGGAAGGTGTTAAGTGCTGTAAGAAATCCAGTAAGTCGTAGAAAACCCAGTAAACGACAGGAGTATGTGAGCTGGAGAGGGAGTGGGGAGTTCCATAATGCCCTCTTAGGTTTCATGGAGGTAGAAGGAGTTATAAAGGAAAAGGTCTGGGTTGTTGATGGTTTCCAGTTCCTTGATGTCTTTCTTCTGAGAGGCGCATTGGAAAGCCATGGTGAGGAGCAAGATGTGGTGATTTACTGGTGGTTGAAGGAAGGAGCTGAGGATGTTCAGGGCAGTCTGTTGGGCTTTATGGAGTTCAGGGCAGTCATGGATAGATGGTATATGTGGTCCAGTACCTTGATGTTATTCTCCTGAATAGCGAGTTGAAAAGCCGTGGTGAGGAGCAAGATGTGGTGATTATCTGGTGGTTAAGGTTGGGCATGGCGGGGGGTCAGGAGGATCGGTGATGCGTTGCTGCTGTTCAGGGTTACATCTGGGTTGGGGACATGGTTGATTGGTGTGCTGCAGCTCTTACATCCCTGTTGTAGGCAAGGTGAATTTCTGGTGCATGTTTTCTGAGGTTCCTGGAGAGGGGTCTCAGTGTTGGTAGGTTTGATTGGTAGTTAGGAGATAGGTTTTTGGTCAATAAATGCTTTTACGATATTGTATGTGGAATTCATTATTTTGATATAACTCTTTACTTTGATTGTATTAGATAATCTGAAAATCACTTTGATGAAAATATTACAATTTTATCTAAAAACAGAAATATGAAAAGTTTGTCAAACGCCGAGTGTACACAAACTTGTCTTGGGTGAAAATATTCTCATTTTGGAAATGTTTGTGCATTATTCTCTAATCACGAATTAATTAATTATAGATAATTATTATAATGAATTATTTTTAGAAAAACACCATGATGCGATTACCCAGATATCTCTCTCTCCAGACAGTTTGTATATAGGTAAGTTTATGTACACGGTTGCAGTCTATGTACAAAGTATATTGTAAGTAAAATTTACGTAAATTGTACATTATATGTACAGAGTGTACGTAAATTGTGTATACATTGTACACTGTATGTAAAGTGTATACTATTAGATTTCGTCCTTCGTAAATTCATTTAACAGATTTAGGGAAACTTAAAGCCAATTTTCCTCAGTTAAAATACAGTTTATATTTTTTTTACTGCTATAGTGCAAATATACTCAGGAAGTACAAAAATATCTTAATGTTGCCACTTCTTTTAAGTGTGGACAATATTCAACGTGACACCGGGTTTTGAAGTGGAAGGTTTGGTAAACTCTACTTAAACTTTAATCCTCTAAAAGCTGGAGGTTACATAGACGGACGGGTCTCTAATTACATCATTATAAAAGATTATATCAGCTCATCAGAATAAAGAATAAAATGAGTAAGAATGAAAAATGTGAAAGATTTTTAAAAAATGATTTTTTTACAACGAGACATAAAAAACTGCGAAATAGGAAGGTGACATAGAAGCATCTTAAAAATCTTGAAAACCAACTTATTTCGTGAAATGGTTCTGTATTGTTATGTTTCATGGCTAAATGGATTATTTAAAACTTAAGTCTAACAGTCGTCTTCTATTGCATAGTTTTAAGTGTTTTACGGTATTCGTTCTTTTTACCTTTCTGTTTCCCATCCTATTTATTTTCTATTTTTTATGCAGTGAAACCTATAAAACTGTGGAATATGAAGACGACATTTAAGCAATTTAATGAGTAAATAGTTTGACCAGTGGCTTGAAACATGTTCATGGGACTTTTAATAATCATAAACTGAATCATCCTATTCCACAATATGATGGGTCTTACTGAATCTTTATCAACAAATGTATTATTTTTATTGAAGAAAATCTACTGGGAGTTGAGTTCACCACTATTTTATCTTCAGTTTTTTGGCCGGACAAAATTGAAAATAATGAAATAAAACTAGAAAATATACAACATTAGCTAAGCTCTAAGTCTACTATATAATGTTAATATCTCTACCCGTTTATCAAATATTTAACCATTAAGCTGTATATTGCAGTATACAGTCTAAACACCCTTTTTCAGAGTTATATGAAATTCCCTATATTTTCTCTTTAACATTAGCTTATATGGACAATTCAATTTTTGGCAATTTTTTTTTTGGCTATTCTCTCTCTTTTTTTTAAACTAAAGAAACATCCGATATCTAGATTATTATTAGAAATAACTCTAAAACTAAAACTTCAATTAGGCCATTGACAAGTGTAATGAGGACGGTGTCCTTGATTATGTAAATGTTTAGTGTCGGCAGGACAGGACGGGGATCTACATTTCTGGAGTTTAGAGGACGGTGTCCTGGTTAATACATACGAAGGTAATGAGAGGAACATCTATGAATTAATCACAGATCGTAAATTGTTTTGTGCATATCTATAACGAATACCAAACATTGTATGACTAATTACAAATATTGTTATAGTATAGAGAGAAGAGGAAGATATTAAAATAAGGACAATGATCAATATCAGGAGAACGGAATTATAAAAAGGACAACGGAGGGTATTAATGGTGGTATTCAATAAGGACAAGAGGACTGTATTATTATTAGAATAATAAGAATGTTAATTACATTGATTATTATAAATAAGGACATTTTTTATATGTTTGTATTTGCAGGAGCAGGACGTATTGTACAAGCGTCCTTTAATCACACAGGTAATAATTTTTTATTTATAAAACTAGCTTGGGAACACAACGTTATCCAGGGTTATCTTAGTTACTCCCGCCGTTTACCCGCACTTGGTCGATTTTACCGGGAAACTAAATTTTCGCTTTAAAAGTCGACCCACTTAATTTAGGATCTCAAAAGCAAGCTAAGAACATTCCTCTTTACTTATAGGAGGAAGACGATATTTGAAATCTGCCTGGAGTCTTCGCTAAATTTATTGCAAATTACATTTATCTATATTACAGGAATGAATGTGGTAGCTACAAGCTACAAAATAGTTACACTTCTACAGGTAAATAGAAAATATCTCTTTGAACTATTTAAATAAAATAGTTTTATACTTTAGGAAAATCTATTTGGACCTATTCATTTTTATAAAATATTGATTTTTCAGTTGGCCTATGATGAAAATCAAAGAGCTCTCAGAATGCAACCAAAGAAGGAGGAGAAGGGGGGAGTACCGGAAGAGGAGGAGGCGGAGAACGATCATAAGAAAAAGAAGAAAAAGAAGAAGCATAGAAAGCATAAAGAGGATGAACCAGAAAATGATTATGAAGAAGAGGAAGAAACCAAGAAAAAGAAACATAGAAAGCATAAGAAATAGCATAAGAATTGACATCTATAATATAAAAATAAACATAATTATGTTATATAGACGTCATTTTTGAAGTTTGTTTCTAAAGATATTTAAAGAAGATATGATAACCGCAACTCGTTAACAGAAATGCGGCAAATTATTTTATATTGTTTAGAGCCAATTATCATATTTTTAGGAGGGTCACAGTCAAACAGATACAGTACCATGCAGGATTTGATATTTGTTTATTTTTATTGAAAAGGACTGTAAACATAATTTCTTAAGTTACCCTCCATTTAAAGACTGGTTTACATCGGTACCCTTGAAAACTTCGTCTGATTAATAATATGGAAAATACTGTCTTTTTCTTGCTTGAAATGTGTTCCAATCTGATAATTACTCCATTATGTTCGTAACGAGAAATGCGCAACTCACTTTTGTACAAAACCCACAAATGAAAATAACTAGTTTCCATAAAAGAAAAACAAGGATATCTCATTACTTGATCAGACAAAGGTTTAAATGTAGAAAAAAAAAGAAGACGACGAGAATTTCACAGTTTTCTGGTTTTTACTGCAGTACATCAGTGATCCTTTTATGTGAGTTGTATCAGTATACAATAAACATGTATAATATTCGCTATATGTACATAACTGAAAATCTATCTACATTGTCATGCTACTTGAATTTGAAATTGTTAAATTGAGCATCAAGGTAGTTTTTGATGAATTTTAAACTATATTTTGTTCCTCCACAGTTTCAATTTACTGGACTTTACTTATATACAAACTTTTATCTTTTGTTCCCTAGAGTATTTTACTTGATTTTAATAAGCAGAGAAAGTTTTAAAAAAATGAAGGGATGATTGGTCCATGAAAGGATGAACGGTATTATGGTCCATGAAAGGATGATTGGTATATGAAAGGATGATTGGTCTATGAAAGGATGATTGGTCCATGAAAGAATGAACGGTATTATGGTCCATGAAAGAATGATTGCTCCATGAAAGGATAATTGGTCCATGAAAGGATAAACGGTATTATGGTCCATGAAATGATGAACGGTATTGTGGTCTATGATTGATTGGTATATGAAAGAATGATTGGTCCATGAAAGGATGATTGGTCCGTGAAAGGATGATTGGTCAATAAAAGAATGAACGGTATTATGGTCCATGAAAGGATGATTGGTCCATGAAAGGATAATTGGTCCATGAAGGGATGATTGGTCCATGAAGGGATGATTGGTCCATGAAGGGATGATTGGTCCACAAATGAATTATTGGTCCATGGAAGGTCCAAGGAAGTCTGTGAAAGATTAATTAGTCCATGATGAACGGTTGGTAAGTTTTATTAGTACCTAAAATGTTGATTGGATCTATTAAAAGTTTTAAAATTCTTGTTATTGTACTGAGCAGTTCATAAATCAAGGATTTTTTATGTTTGATTATCTGTCCGTGCACTGGCCAGGGTTGCATGGAATATATCCCGTTTATAGAACTGGAAAAACCAAATAAAACCCTTGTAAGGGAGGGAAAAGTTTAGTCTACAAACGGAATTATAAAAAAAGGATTGGAAATCTCCTTTAAGGTAACCAATAGAGGATCGATATTGATGAATAATGAATAAATGTAAGAGTGGATGAATGATGAATGAATGTAAGGTAACCAGGAAAGAATGGATCTGCCCTGGATTTATGATATAGAATGTAAGGTAACCAAGAGTGGGCGGATTTGAATAAATGAATGAATGTAAGGTAACCAAGCGTGGATGGATCTGGATGAATGATAAATGACGAATGAGTAAACGGATAAATTTGGGAGTGGATAGATCTGATTGAATGATAAATGAATCTAAGGCAACCAAGAGAGAATGGATCCGGATGAATGATAAATGAATATAAGGTAACCAAGAGTGGATATATCTGGATGAATGATGAATGATGAATAATGAATAATGCATGATGAATGAATAAATGAATGAATGTAAGGTAACCAAGTATGGAAAACTAATCCTATGGAGAACTCAGTAAAAACTAATGAGAAGCATAACTCACAGAACCACGATATACATATATATATAGATATATATATACATATATATAGATAGATAGATAGATAGATAGATAGATAGATAGATAGATAGATAGATAGAAAGATAGATAGATAGATAGATAGATAGATAGAATGTTTCCAGGTAATATTTCTATATAAATATCTAATGATAATATTAATATTAAATAGTTCCAAGAATAGCATATCAAATAAAATGCGCTACAAAAAAAACTTTTTTATTTATATGTATCATATTTATATTTATAAGTTATTCTATCTTGCTCAAAGGGACTTCCGACATAATTTCCTTAAACCGGCCATTAATTGGAATAACAATGAGAAATATATTCAATTTGATCCATTTTTTTTCTTTTTTAAAAATATCGATGTTCGAATGTACGATTTAAATCTTTCAGTGTATGATACTTGAATTAAATTTAATTACCATTTATTATGTACAGAGCAGAAGTACTGTACATATTTTGAACCTCTTAGCTATTCTAGTTTGATTTTTTTAAGTACAGGTATTCCACGAAACATGACAATAGCAAGACGACTTGAAAGTCGTCTTTGATATTTGAATTTATTTTTGACATTTATTTTTCTATCTACTTTAACATGTATGATTCTTGAAACAATTATCACATAATTCTCCTAGCCCTGGCATTTCCAAAAGTGGTCTGCGTTTTTTGTGCTTTCAGTATTACTTGAGATATAAAGAGTTTGGTTCAGATTTCAATTTTGTTAAATAAAAGCAAAATTGTCGATATCTGAACAAAATTGTTCATATCTCGGGCAATATTGAAAGCACAAAAAATGCAGACCACATTTTAGAAATGGCAGGACTAGGGAAATTTTGTGATTATTATCTCTAGAAATTTACTTCTAAAAAAGGTTGACAAATAAATGCAGCAAATTATATCAAAAATCAAGACGATATTCAAGTTGTCTCGCATACTGTCATGTTTCGTGGGACACCCTGTCTGAGAGAAAGAAATTTATCCTGTTACATATTAGAAATCAAAGCATGTTTATTCTTCTCAATATCTCTTCAATAAGAGGAGTTATGATTGTAAACATAAGATTTCAATCCCAAGTGTAATATATAAACAAAATATGTTTTACTTAGATAGATTTATAGTCATACATATATTTACATATTACATACATTACATATTTAGATATGATAAATAATACAGAATGCTGGTTTAAGATTGATTAATGTATTTAGAGTTAAATAAGGCGTACAAGTTCAGAACCAGGCGATTATTGATAGTTCGGAGATCAGCTGATCATTCAACTTGATAATGGAAATGTTAAGAGTTATTAATACATTCATATAGACATATGTATTGTATAATCATATATTGTAAAATAGAATATATTCATCAATTGTAAATTATTTATAACCTTCTTTACAGTAGGATTTTTAGCAACAACTGACAACGACCTGATGTCTCACGTCAAATTGAAATAATTTTCACGTTATATTGAAAGCAATTACATGTTTCCAATCCTAACTCCCCTTTTTTTAAATATTTGAAACAGCAATGTTCCAGACATTTAATCTTCTTCTTCTTTCAGGCCAAGTGAGGAAGGCCAGCCATAAAAAATTTCTCGTCCTAGCCTAAAGTATTACAATGATTACATCACGTTGGAATCTTCAAACCCATGAGAATGATGTCAAACTTTATTTAGGTAAAACTTAAATCACTTTTGCCTCCATAAATAGCTTACCTTCGCGATAAAAAAATAAATAGCAATATATTTGTCATACAAAAAAGACTGAAGTTCTATAAACTCGGAATATCTGAAAATGCGTGTAAAAATGTGAACCTTTTAAGAACATTAAACTTGAAAATTCATTTAATTAAAACATTTTTTTCGATTTACAAAAATTCAATATTTCATTTAAGGCCCTAACGTGGCCCGATTCTTAAAAAATAATTTTATCTGTGAGAATTAGGCAATAAAAAAAGTTTTATCTGAGAAGATTAGAAAATAATATTGGCTAGACGAGGATTTCGAGGTGACTCGGACGAGATATTGTGGTAGGCCTTCCTCCCCCCTGTATGTATAAAATGCCTTATTTTTCACATTAGCTTTATGTGAGGTAAATAGAAGGTAGTTAAAGTAGTAATAATTTAAATTTTAAAAATAAAGATGTGTATTGATTTGTATATAAATGGTAGAACTCAGGGTAGTGGGGAATTGAAAATAAATTCTTGAATAAATGTTGATAAAAAAGTTTCAACTTGTCGGTGGTAGTGAGGGTAGTGGNTTGAAACTTTTTTTTCAACATTTATTCAATAATTTATTTTTCAATTCCCCACTACCCTCACTACCACCGACAAGTTGAAACTTTTTTATCAACATTTATTCAAGAATTTTATTTAAATTAAAAACTACCCTCACTTCCACTGATTTTTCAAAATCTTAATTTCAACATTTATTATTTTTTTTCATTTTCAAACTACAGTCACTTCCAAGACAAAAACTTAAGCAAGTCTTAAAGAAAAAAAAGAGGCAATTTAAAGATTTTTAAAGTTGAATTTCTTGCTAAATATATTTTTTTTTATCATGATTTTACAAAAAAATCTTATAGTTTTATAAGAAAAGTATCTGCTTACTACCATACATACCTATGTTAATAAAAAATTCACCTATTTTTGAGCAAAAAAAGGCATTTTATACGTTCACTCCTCCCCCTCGTCTAGCTTTGTGTTTTGCAATAGCAACATATGTTCTTGGTAATCACGCAACCTCACTCAGTGAAATTATTTTTAATATTATATAATTTAATATTATATATGTCTTTTAAATCACCGAAACGTTGCTTACCCAAAAGTGTAGATTTTTTTGATAAATATCATTGACCGGGCTCTTTTTAATAGCCATAGGCATTTACACTTTAGAACTATAACGAATGGTTTTAAGCTGTATTTTTTAAAAACTAATTTGCGAAGGAACTGAGTTTTTGCCACAAATTATGATTTTACAATCGCCATATTATTTCAACCTG